TTATGTTTCTTGATATGTTTTAAAGTTTTAACCACATAAAAGTTTTTTTTTTTTTTATTGTTGTGTGTTTGCCTTTTTGGTGGCCCTGTTGTAATTGGTTTCACTTTTGCTTTACAGTTTAAAACTTTTAAATTATGATCCACTATAGAAATTTAAATCACTAGAAATAAAGATTCGTAAATTTTATTTTTTAAATTGGGTGAGAATGGCAATTCAGTGTATTGGATATATTAATATTTTTTTTAGGGTTGGTCAAAACATATACTATATGTAATTGTGATATTTTTGGAGAAAAAAAACTTAAAAAAAATTATAGAATTTGAGAGAATTTCTAGACATTCTTTTTTTAAAAAAAATTTATATTATTGGCTTCATTTTCTCTTGTTAATATGTGATTAACTTCATTATATTATAATTTTTTCAATATCTTTGATTATTTTTGGCTTTTGTCGACCTATAATATCTTTCGATAAATTAATAATCGCTATAAATTAATAAGTTTCTCCGGTTCTAAGGTGGAACTAGTGCAATTTTGAACACAATTCGATAATATAATAAATATTTTTTTTTTTTGAAAATTCTTAGTAAATATAAAGTCACATCAATATTATAAATTAATAATTACATAAAAATTATCAACATATATGTGTATATTATTTTTATTTAGAGTTCATTTCTAATATTTTTACTATATTTTTTAGTGTTTTCTTTGAAGACATGATAATTCTTATTTTCTTTTTTTTTTTGACGAAAAAAAAGATAATTCTTATTTTCCTTGTAATTGATTCTAATAAAATATTATTATAATGATTAGATCTTATTTGTAGATAATTTTTTTTAAAGAAAAACTTACTAAATTAGAAAAATCTATGTATAAATTAATAATTATTAAATTAATTTTGTTGTAACTGTTATACAATATAAACTTGTGGTGTATGATGTGTACAATAGGATAATATGTTAGTCAATCAAGATATTAGAGATTGTAATATTTTGATCTTATGTGGACCAGAGATCAAAGATTCAAATCGAATCCTTCGAAACTTCTCCAGGTATGTAAATAAACAATTTCATTGGATTGTCATTTGTCGATGAAGATTTTTAGCAACTTCTTTCTATAGATGTGATCTCCGTCTAATAAAAACAAAATAAAATTATAATAGGATTAATTATGTTTCCACAATAAGATTGTGATCGGTAACTATTATAGGATACAAACGTGTGGTGTATATTGTGTACAGAGTACAAAATAGTAAGGTAATATGTTAGTCAATTAGAATGTTAGATATTTTAATTGTAATTAAGAAAAAGTCATGAGACAAGTAAAAAACAAAATTTAAGTGTATAAAATGTTATACATATACAAATGTATGTTTTTATCTTCCAATTTCTAAAGTAGATTTATATAAATATGTCTCTAACAAAATACTTGATAATAAAATACAGCAAGACGTGATAATAAAATACTTGGGAGCTACCTTAATCACATTCACATACAAGAAGAAAAAACTACTTAGATCAAATTGCTAGCCTTATTTATTTTTACTATCACTTTTGTAAGTTCCTTAATCAACTATTTTAATATAAGTGGAGGATAGAAAGAAATGGCTAAAGAGACTAGAGAGTGAAACCAACCAACACGGTATATAGAATACAATTTAAAGAGAGAAACTAGTACGTAATCTTGAAAACTTAAGCATTAGACTACTTGATTGAGAAATATGTAGAAACGTATCAAAATATCGTTGGCCAAAAGACGAAAATGTAATAAAAGTTTTGTAGGAACAAGTCATCATCATAATATAATTTTTGTGTTTAAAACACTAATAAATGATTTTTTTTAGTTGGATTGTTAGTTGTTGCATACAATACAAGTTGGCCCTATTGATTAAGATTGATGACCAATATATCTCATTTTATTAAATTTTTATTTAATATATGTTTTTGTCATTCCGTAGCTTGGAAGTCTCATGATCACCACTAGTTTTAAACTTTTAATATACAAATAAAATTAGAAATAAAATTATTCGTTTTTAAAGGAAAGTTTCATGCCAATTCTCTTCGTGGGTCCATAATATAAATTGATGTACATATGCTATTCATGGAAAGATAGAAAAAAACAACAACGACGTAGCATGTGAAAAAGTGATGGGGATGACTTCTCGTAAACGTTAGACTTAATCCACATGTAGTATTCGCTGTAAGCTTATATAGAGAGAAACAAATAGAACACGAGAGAAGATAATTTTATATATCTTTGTAATTGTAATATCACAAAAAAAAGGAGGAAAATGAAATATGTAACTGTAAATATGAAAAGAGAACATGCCCATTGGCTATCTCAGTTTCTTTACTGAATTACAAAAACATTATCAATGAATGGACCAAAAAAAAAGAAAGAAAGAGACAGGATCATATCGAGACCAATTCATGTACATGCTCTCATACTGGAGAACTATGCTTGTCTAATTTCTTGGATTCATGATGGTTCTCTTTTTCTTGTCCCAAAAGCGGTGTCGTGTCTCTATCTTTACCCTGTAAGGACCAATACCAAAGTACTTAGAGAAAAGTTTCAAGATTCATTATTATTTCTATGATCTTTTTCATTTTTTGTGTGTGCTTATACGTACAAGAAAAGTGGAATCGGAGGAGGCTTGTTTTGATTTAGAAGCAACTGAGCAGAAGTAGGAGTATAGAAGCATGCCGAGGACAGCGATGAGGATTCCTGCGATGTTACGAGGAGTGAAAGGATCGTGGAGTAGAGTGTAACCAAATGCTAGCACCAAACACGTTTTGAGATGTCCCAAGACTTGGTATGTCACCGGAGATGTCTTTCCGATTACTAAAAACGTGCTGAAGTTAACCGAAACCGCTATCAAACATGACAACGTTATGAACCCCTACATGTATACAACATCAAGATTCATCATCGGTCAAATTCACAAAATTCTTCTACCTAGGAATGTTAAAATACGACATGTTTCAAAACGAGAGAAGTTTAAACGGGCCGGGCTAAAAAGGTGGGCTGAGTTTTATCGGGCCGGACCAATCTACCACAACATCTCTAATTCTTATACAACATCAAGTGACAATAAATGAAATTGTATACGAAATAAATTGATGTAAAGATTACCACAACAATGGGAGAGTAATGGAAGGAGAAGACATTGAGGCTAGTGAGGTATTTGTCGACGAAAGGACCCGAGACGAAGAGTATAGCGGCTTGGAACGGGGCTGATTGGTATAGGAGTTGTGTTGATGTCACATTCAGTCTCTTCTGAATTGTGTTTGTTAGCTATATACACCACAACATCATATTAGCTGCTATACTAGGGATGAATCATTGTACATTGATTAATGAAAAACACAAAGCATACAATTTGGCCGACGCAAGTTGTGGCAATGGCAAGGAGAGAGAGAACAGAGCCAACAAAGTTGAGCTGAAGATCTGTGATTGATGCTATCCCAACTCCAACCAGCAGCAGAAATAATGAGAATTTTATCTTCTGACTGCAAAACCAAATGTCACATTTAGAAGAAATTTTTTTTGTTAAAGTTTGAGTTATATAAATAATAAGGTTCACCTGAACTTCTTGTTGAGGAAGAGGGTTTCTAATAGGACAGTGAATGGTATGATAGCAAGTTTGGTCATCTGTCATTTATATATGGAGAAACATTAAAAATGGTTAATCATGTAGATGTTATATGATGAGGATCAAAATGATGTTGAAGATATATATACTTGGTAGAAGCCGATAGAGTTGAAGCCGAGGCTGAGATTGAGGAGACCAATGGAGATGCCATTGAGGAGGCCAAAGAGAACAACAGTTCTCATGTCTATAGGTTTATTCTCAAAGAAGTTTAGTTTATATGCCACATGAAGTGTGCAATATGTTACCATCAAATGCCAACTTGTCAGTGTTGTTGCTGTTGACAAAACCATGGCCAAAAACAAAAACAAATGATCATATATCAATTCTTAGACGCTTAACCGGTTTTTCGATGAAGATCTTACAACATATATTGTCATCACAAAGTGAAAAAAAAAGAGAAAAAAAAAACATGTAATTACCAAAAGGGAAACCAAGATTGGTCATCAAAGCTTTGTTGCAAATGACAATGGAGACAGAAGATGCAACTGATAGAAACAATGCTCCAATCACACCCATTTGCATACTCTTCATCTCTCCCATTCTCCTCACTCTCTTCTCAACCCTTCAAATCTATCAAACGAAGAGAGAGATTGAGAAAGATAAATATATATTGATATTGAAAGAGTAAGAGAGAGAGAGAGAAAGAAGAATTGTGAATGTGATGAGTGATGAAAAATGCAAAGGAGATATATGAGGATTTTATTCTTTGTTACTATAAAAATGGTTGGTGCCTAACACCAAACTTCTTGTTCTTCCTAATTCCATTTTTTTTTCTTAATTATGTCATCTATATATTATTACACATAAGGTACATGAGAAAAAAAACTATAATGATGTTGCTTAATATATGCTTTTCCTCATAAGAGGCTTCTACTAATGATATGATAGCAAACTTCTTAACCATAAAAAAAGAAACTAAAATTAAACATCCAACAAAGAAAATATAATAAATAAAGGGAAACATTATAGTTTTCTATAGACAAATCATTGACTTGAATTAAAAGCAAAAAAGAAGGTGAAACTGAAATTTTCATACTTTTGTTTTTCTCTATTGGAGAAAGTATTGTAATAAAAAAAAAAAAAAAAACTTGAATATTATAGATTTGGTGTAAAAGCTTCACACTCACTCCAAAGTCATAACCATCTTCTCTTCTCCTTAATTTATCTACCATTTACGTTATCTATTGAGAGCAAAACTATAAAACTTCCCAATCTATGAAATTGGGTGAAATAGACCAATCCTAAAACTGGTTAGTCATTTTCAGAAGTCAAAAGAAGGAAATTTAAATTGGCATAAGAACAATGTTTAAAACAACCACCATACCAAATTCTAATAGAGATGTTTAGTGTAAACAACATCAAAAGTATAAATCTCATACAATATCAAATATAAAGTTTTTTTTTTTCACATATGCCCTATCAAAACCTAATTAGGGTAAAATGTTGGGGTTTGATATACAAGAGTAAGGTTTTTGATAATAATTATGTAAAAGGTAAAAAAAAAAAAAGCTAATTTTTTTATCCTTTGACCGTTCTCCCAAGGTACTCTTTATCAGCATCTGCTAATCTGTTCTGAAACATGGTCCATTCCTTTTTGCATCTCTCTCTCACTCCTTGCCATGGAGCTTTCCCATTCTCTGACTTACCTTGACTTCCAAGTGACGGTATCACTTTATGTATGATCCATTGCGAATCCACAACCCCAATCTTTTCATGAGCAGGCTGCAGAAACATACACAGGCAGAGATTTTTCTTGATCCATTCCTGTTAATGATATATGGTTTTATTATCAAGCAGAGGGCCAGAGACTACTTACTTCTACGCATCTTCTAAGCGCAAAGTCGAGACCCCATCCATGAACAAGATCGTTCTGCATCAGAAACATAAACAAAGTGATGAAATTCCTCTCAAGCAATAGTTTGAAGGATTAAGCATTAGTTCCATGTATCTACTGATTGACAAACCTGAATCATATGCCACACACATCGCCATGCTTCTCGTGAAAATACAGGAGCCATTATTTCAACAAATCTGTGTGGGAACAAAAATTATTACTGATAATGACTAAGCATTCTTGAGTGGGGATAAAGAGAGGATTTCCAAGAGAAGAAAGAGATATTTACGCAGCACATGGAGGTAAATGTGGATCTTTACACCATCCAGGCTTTTCTTTAGTATCTCTGTTCACCAGTAAAAACAACACATTCTTAAATCAGAACCAAAACAGAAAGGCAAAGAATGGTTAGAGAGAGAGAGCGAGAGGGAGAGATCTTACTTGTGGACCTCTCGGTCACCTCTCCTCTTCGTCATTTCCCAAGTGAGTCCATTATTAGGCTCTAGGCCTGGTTGAGAAATCTCTAAACCATGCTTCTTAACTAACTCAATATACCTGAAGTTGTAATAAATTTCCATTATTCTATGTAAGGATGAGACTGTAATGTTCCTCCAGAAAAAGAACTTACTTATCCGCATTGAAGTGCTCCACTCCAAGATCTTCATCCCATATAAATATGTACTCGTAAGCTGACACAACATCAGGATGCAAAAATCTCTTCGCGAACCACCTGCCAAAACCAGTAGAGAATTTTCATAAAAACATACTAGAGAAAATTGTCCAGAATGTTTGTTAACCACTCATCTAAACTACCAAATGACTAACCATTTTGTTTGCTTTCTTGTACTAATATGAATGGCGTTCTTTGACCACTCAAACTGATCCCATTCAGTTGTCCGGCCATCATAATGGAAGAGCAAAATTTGGAAATCTTCAGAAAACTGCAGAAATGACAAAAACAAACAAAAATATCTGAGTGAATCCACCAATGTAAACAATGTATAAAACATGTTGATATTGCAGAACCTTCTTAACAACTCCATTAATATGGTTCCTTTGGTCAAACCCAACTGTAAATGTCACAAGATATTTTGGCTTCTTCTTCAAATCCTGCAAAGGTTAATTATTCTTTTAACATTAGAAATTCTGATATCCTCCACAGATAAACCATAATTTTGAGAAAAATAAACACAAAAAGCACATACTTCATTAGGTTCTCCCCATAATCTACGCAAGTAAAAATCAGTCTTCGCCACAACAATTCCCGGAGGTAGTACCTCTGCACCGCGCGGGTTGGTTGGAACATATATCTGCATTCACATCAACAGAAACAATACACTTCATCCCAAATGATACACTACTCTATTACATAACAACTATATTTCATTCTTGACTAAAGAAACTGCAAATTCTGCATTCATGAAACTGATTCACAGAACATCAAGTTACATATATATATATATATATATATACCTCAGGGAACTTTCTTGAACCGAAATCTTCAGGGGACTTGTCACCAGATAACAATTTACCATCAAGAGATGACATAAAGCCCGAAGGTAAGTTAATCTACAGGACCACAAATATAAAAAAACTCAACAAGTGAAAAATGAAAGAGGGAACAACAAAGTCAAGAATTAAAGATCAAAACCTCATCATACCTTAAAAGAAACTGATGGTAATGTGATACCAATAAAAGTCCCAAAGACTATTCCCAAAATAGTTGTGATAATAACCTTTGCATTCTCATTCGTTCTTCGAGGAGCACCACTGCAAAACTAAGCAACTAAGTAGTATTCTTCAAATAGAAACCAAACTCAAAAAAGAAAAGATCTGTTTTTTTTTGAGTATTACAATCAAACATACCTGCGGTGCATTGTTCCCATTTAGTTCGCAATATCTCCAAACTCCAAATACTAAAAATCAAATCTTTACTTCAGCTTCAAAAGCACAAAACTTGTATTAGCTTTAGTTCTTCAAAATCTTGACTAAAACTTCATGTTTAAGCAATAAAAACGAAAGCTTTAGTGTAAAATTCTAATCTTTCTTGATTGAATCGTGAGATCATAATACAAGACAATATCGAAAAAAAAATCAAATTTAGTATAGAAGAGAAGTGAAAATGAACAAAATGTAATTACTTTATAGGATTATAGATCTCAGAGATCTGAACAGGCCACGGTGAGAACAACAACTCTATAGATTAGGGCTCAGAAAGAGATTCTCCGATCTGTGAGAGAGAGAGAGAGTGCGAAAGAGTGTGTGTGCGTGTGTGTGTGAGAAAGAGAGAGAGATGAATTTGGAGGTATTAAAAATTCTTAAAGGTATAAACTTTTTTTCTTAATTAATCAAATTAAAAGGTAAAACCTCAATTATTAGGACATTTGTTCCTGTCTTTTTTTTAATTACAACTCATTTATTTGGAGCCAACAAAGATTTGAATATTCAACTTTTTTTCTTCTTCTTCTTAATTACATCTCCATGTTGTACTACATAGTCAAAGTTTAACAAACCAAGGAAAAGGAATAATTAAGAAAAAGTCTGTTGAATGAGGAAAATAAGATAAATGGAAATCTATGGGCTAAGTTTGAGAACAAGCCCATTAGATGATCCATTTATATGCAGCAACTACATGATTGGGCTTCGTATATATATATATATATTATTATTAATAAAGATTTTTGTTTTTGTTACTTTACTTTAGTTTGAGTTAATTCGTTTATTTTGAGGGAACCATATTAATATATAGCCTTTAGTGTTTAACTTATTATACTACGGATTAATTAACCAATTTTTATATGAGGTTTACACAACTAATTCACTATTTTCATAAATCATCTTATATCGTGTGGTTACCAATCAAAATTCAAGTGTTCTAATGTATGAGGAAAGAAGTTTATTTGTACATCACATTATATTTTAGGTGTTTTAAACTGGTCAAGAGACTTATAACTTCATTTTTTAATTTACCATAACCACAACAAAAAGGAATTCTCAAACACAAATTTTTTAATTTTAAAATCATCAATGGAGACAAAAATAAAATTTTTTAAAAAAAACCCCAAAGATTGAGTTGTTGGTTGGGGGACATATTACAAAATACAAACTTAAAAAAAAAAACCAAAATATTTTCTTTCTTTTTTTTCCAGATAAAAAAAAACTAAAAACACAAGACATTAAAACAACAGAATCAACTACACAAGAAAAGAAGAAAGTTAATCTGTTTTTTGTTTTTGTTTTTCTGGTTGCTAGGACTAAGTCTTACAATCAATAAAGAGGATCCCAAATTTTGAAGAAACATTTCAATTTGGGTTATCCTGATTAAGAAAATAATTAATTAGTCCTTTGTATGTTTTTCATCTTGAGATTTCACAAGTTGGACTCAGCCCTATTTGCTCCATCTCCCAGCTTTTCTTTGATGCTACCTTCTCATGTCTTGGTACATATTCCTAAATTTTCAAATCACAAAAAAAAAACAAGTATAAATTTATGTAATAATAAAAGATAGTTTAATAACAAAAAAATATTATAAATTTAAACCTCAAGTTTCTTGACAAGCTCTTTAGCAGAAGGAGCAGAGACAATGATATGTCGAGCAGTTGGTGAAATGAAACCTTCTTCCACTGCTTTGTCTATGAATGATAACAATGAGTTGTAGTATCCTTCCACGTTCAACAGTCCCACCTTCACATTCATATTCATAAGATTAGTAAATCTAACTTAGAAAAATATTTTCGATATAACATGTTCTGTTTTCTCGTAAATATCTCATTTATCGCGTAAAATCTAAACTCGAAATCATAAATCTTAGTTTTTTTTAATAAATGATATATATAAACACATGGTAAATTCACTAAACCTAAATCATTATTTTGTTTATATATGTGTAATGTAAACAAAAAATGGAAGCAAAATGATTACTGGTTTATCATGAATTCCTAGCTGTGCCCAAGTGATTACTTCAAGGAGCTCTTCAAGTGTTCCATACCCACCTACACATATATAAGTTATAGTTACTGGTATAATCAAGAAAAATTTAAATAAAATTCTCAATGATTACAAATACAATGTGGATAAGAAAACAAAAAGGAACCAACCAGGTAAAGCGATAAAAGCATCAGAGTGCTTAGCCATCTCAGCTTTCCTTTGGTGCATGTCTGCTACTGCCTTCACTTCTCCCACTGTCTCTCCTGTTATCTTTATTCACATTTTCAAAAACAAAAAAAAATTACAAAGTATTATTATCACCACTCACTCACTCACTTACACCACTTGTGTCTTCTGTATATTCCAAAACAAAAAGACAAATCTCTTACACACTCACACCACTTGTTTTATGGTTTTCTTCTTCCTCCAAAGATATATGTGAATCTAAAACAAAATGGCTCTCTTCTTTATGCTACTGTTTTAGATTCAACATGTTGTTGTAGTAATTTTATCTTTGTGCAATCATATTTTAGCCCATTATGTTTTGTGAGAAAAAGGATTAAGATTGTAATGATGGTTTAGTCTCTCGAGGTACATTTTATCTCTTTGACCTCCTTTCTTAGAAAAAAGGTAAATCATATATTTGGAGCAACGTGATTGGTGTCTTTTTATTATTTTTAAACTTTATCTTAATCAAAAATACTAATTATAGCTATTTTTTAAAAAAAAGATGAAAATATCACCGTCCAATAAACTGGACTGTTTTGTCTCAATTGAAACAAACTCTAATATGAGACAAATGTAATATACGCGTTTTAAAAAGATAACATATATGAGGTTGATGTTCTTGTTAAATTATCTACCACAACAATTTCTTTTTTCTTTTTCTTTTTCGTAAACTCTCTTAGCTTCTAATATATACGAAAGTGGTAAAAAAAAAAACAAGAGTTCATAAATATTATTCTGGAGTTATATTTCGGACGTACCTCTCTTGGCATTAGTGTCTTGGGGATAACCCTGAAGACAGTAACAAGACAAAACCAAAGTTAGTTAAAAATATATATTTATAAAAAAGTTAACGTCACAAATACACTACACGTATGCCAAAATTATCCATAATTTGTTTTCACGTTGTTAATGACTTTACATAAACATTAGATTACCCGATGACATGACGACCACCATTGAAAACAGCTTGAGAGATCAAACCCATTAAGCCAATGCTCCCTCCACCATAGACAAGATCGATATTTCTCGATACCTATACGAAGAAATAAAAAAAAACATATATGGTTGGTTTTAGTAATTTTAGTGGTCCTTGTCATTAGTTAATTGATACTACTACTACTAAAGATTAAAGAGAATACAAAATAAGTGGATAAAGATAGTGTAGAGAAACTTAATAATTACATTTTCTGGTAAAAGTACCCAACAAAGTACATGAAGAAGAAAAAAAAGATGGTAAAAGAAAAATAAAAAGTATGAACTTTCCCATCACAAAAAATTTTCAACTAAAAACATATACTTTTGAATTTATTCTCATCCTTTTTTAAGCTTTGGAACTATGTTTTTTTTTCTACCACTGACCACAGTAAGTACAAACATGGAAGAAGATTTAATATTCTTTCTAATAAAAATCATCTAAAGAAGATAATGGGATTTTTTTTTCTTTTTTTTTGTTATAATATGAATAGTTAGCTCCACTAACTCTAAATGGGTTTAAAAATGCTTTAGTTATGAGTTATGACAAGTCAAATGATTAAATCCATTTCCGAGCAACTTGTAATACCTTTATTGGGTCAACGGAATGACAAAAAAAAAAGTAATTAGAGATCCAAAATCTGATCATACTTATTCAGGAATATTTACTAAAAGTCAAGAAGTCAAAAGGAAAATTATAATGTATATGTTTCACAGAATTTTTGTTCTCCACCATTTATAAGTTTATCCAAAATAGGTTAAATTAATCTTCTCTCTACTATATTGTGTCAGGTAATAACGTTTTACATTTTGAATATAAAATTGATATTTTTTTGTAGTTTGTTTTTTCATTGGTTGGGTAGTATTTAAGTATATACTAAATGATGTCTATTTTAGAAAAAAAATAATTAATGACTACGTAATAAATGTGTTAAGAACTTAAAACATCCTATTTTTTTACGGGGGTTTCGTATTTTTACGGTTTTACAATCTACTACCAAGAAGAAAAATCTGAAGTCTTTAAAAAAAGAAAAAGAAAAAAGAATCTGAAGTCTTATGACTCTTTGGAGAATCAGGTCTTAAGACATAAGTCTTCCCAAAAACTTGGAACTGATAAAGTTTTTTACATAATCCACAATTCTATTCAAACTTTGGAACTTGGAAGAGGAAAAAAAAAACAGAGCTTTTTTCTTCTTCTGGGGTTTGCTAGTAATCTAACACAAAAAAAAGACTAATTCTCATTTTTGTGTATTTTAATTTATACACAACAAAATAAACGAATTTAAAGACACACACACATATATACATAAGAAACAAGAAAGCAAAATAAGAATCTTGAAAATGAAAAAAAAAGAAGAGATTTTACCAGTTCGGTTCCGAGTTCGATAGCAGCATCTTTGTAACTGGTTTTATTACCAGCACTACTTCCACAAAAGACACAAATCCTCTTGAACTTTGGTTCTGTCTCCATCTCTCTCTCTCTCTCTTCCTTCACACAAAGTTTTTAAAGAAAAACAAAAATTGAAAGGAAGAAAGAATCTATCTTTCTCGTTGTGTGTTGGTATGAAACTATGAATGTTCTTCTTTGGTCATATATATATATATATAGAATTATATAAGAAGATGGGTGGGGTACTCACTAGTATATACCTAGCTCATACGCTTCTTCTTATTAGTAATATCTCCAAAAAAAAAGAAACTATTTTAAAAATACATAAATAAAAATAAATAATGTCTACATGAGTTTGACATTCTTTTTTTTTTCTTTTTTTTCATAACACGAGTTTGACATTCTTCTATAATAAATAGATTAAAAATTGTAAAAAAGAAAATATTGTCTTATTACTTATGTTAGTTGGAGAGATCGATCTAATAATAATATAGAATTACGAATGTACCAAATGTCTTGAATGTAATTAAGGTTCACATTCTTATTTAATGTTTACTTCAAAGTACTTTTTGTTGGCATGTGTGTGTGGATGCGATATGTTTACAAGTTGCCGACTTATTTCCATTGATTAAGACTTTAATAAATCACATTTGAGCAAAAATAATAATAATAATAATAATAATAATAATAATAATCCGGTTTTGATAGGTTAACCGACGTATCAGTATCACCTATAAGCCATTTTGTGAAGATCGATGTGAGTTTGGGAGGATGGGATTGATTACACGAACACGAACATATTTTGTAGGATTAAAGTCTGTTAATATCAAATAAAGAAAAACTTGATACAGTTTTATTGTGATACGTATAAATTTGTAGATTTTAAACTGTTAAAAGTTTTATTGTGATACGTTTGAGTAAAATAAGAAAATTAGGAATTTTCATGTCCTAAATGTGTTTGATAAAATACCAGAACAAAAATTACAAAGTGATTTTCATTTTTTACCTTTGGAGGTTGACTATGATGATTAGTGACAAAATAGCCATGTGTACTATTAGTGCTTATTAATCTTTGATTTTCTTTAAAAATTATTGATGATTATATGATTAGTAAACGAATTAACGATATATGAATGGATTAGTCTTGCTTAGTATTCTATGACCTCAAGATCATTCTTGTTTGAAGTTGCATAAACTCCATAAACAATCCTTTATTTGATAAATTACTTTAACGCAATAATCCAGTTTTATTTCCTGATTGGTATCATTTATTTATATTTTTTGTAGAAATATATTTATCTAATATAAAATTATAGGTGCACATTTATATCTGCAATAGTATTTATGGTTTAAATCTAAATAGAGCAAAACAAGCACACAATAAATTATATAAAAATAAATAAAGCGAAAATAAACAAGAAATCACAATAACTCAAATAAAATTGCATACAAAATAAAAGCAATGAATAAATTCTAGAAGTAACCATAGCATAACTCTATACTTAATAATTTTTCTTTTCTGATTCCCGCCATTGACATATATATTATTTTAAAAATTACTATATTTTGAGTTGATTTTTAGGGGATTTGCAAAAATACCTTCTTCTATATTATTATTTTGCAAAAATATTCTCTTTTGTTGTCCATTTTCAATAATACTCTTTTTCTATATACAAAAGGACTCAATTCTAAATTCAAAACTCCACATATTAAACTCTATCCCCTCAAACTATACCCTAAATGTAAAATAGAGAACCCAAACCTAAAATATTCTAAAATTTAATTTAATATATTGTATTTATGTAAAAGAGGTAAAAAAAAATATATTGTATTTTTTTTCAAAAGAGTATCTAGGAAAGTGCATTAGTAATAATTTCTCTTGATTTGTTTTTAAAATTTATTATATGTTGGTCTTAATAATTTAACGTTAGAATTGAGAGCTGACATTTTCTATTGTGAAAACAAACAAATAATGAAACATATATAAAAATTATTTGATGTGATTTGGTTCATAATTTTCTAATAGATCTGAATGAGATTAGCTTGCAAACATTGTACAAAAGTTTGAATTTTGTCCATTACAAGCTAATCTCGTACGTATAAATTCATGCGAAGTTTATCTGATATAAAATTATAGGTGCACATTACTTATATGCAAATTATTTATGCGAAGTTTGATTTAATAAATATAATCTTAGTCATCACTTTTAAAATTGTAAAACTATGATAATTATTATATTAAATCAGAACCTTCACATTGGGATACCTAAATCTCTTTTAGAAATTTAAAACACTAATAATATATGTGTCCGTACATCGTCTTCGAATATACATCGCTTTATAGATTTTGATTTCTAAAGTCAGTTCTGCATTTCTTACAAACTGAGGATACATTTACAAAAAGAGTTATTTGAATAATTTTGTTTACTAAAAAAATCCTATAATCTATCGTACATATTTGTTTTTTCAAAAGATCTACTTCTAAAGAACAAAATAACATTTAAAAAAAAAACTAAAAATTGGAAGAACATATAAGTCTACTAGCAAAACCAACGGCCATAAATCAAACGTGTTAAAAATGATATTAATTTTCAGGACCATTGTCTTTACACTTTAGAGGACAAATTTTTGGAAAAGCTCAAAATCTATAAAATATCTTAAACTTGTTAGCAAGTTAAATCAGAAGAGTTTAAAACTTTCATTGAAATATGTAACAATTAACAGTGTTTTGATTATCTTTATTCTCCACCAACCGTACTAAACACATTAGTCTTAACTCAATTATGTATTACTAATCCTTTAGATTGTAATGTTCTATCCACTGCAATCATTTGGTACTGTTATTATTCTCCATATATCTCTTAAGTTTTTTAATTAATTAATGTTCTCTTTTCTGCTATTTAATGTTGCAAAAGTGACTTATAACCCAATCATTTTTTTATTATCCAATGAGAAGACTATTTAATTTGGTTTAAGACGTCTCTCAGTCCTCGAATATCTATTAATATATATATATATATATATATATATATATATATATATTTGTAAAGATATATATAAATTAAATACTTTTTATTTTGTTAAATATATAATAAGTTTATCTTTATATATATATTAGGATTAGGAAAGTCGATATGTGATGTATGGTCCAAATTTAGGGACACTACAAAAGCCCAAAAAAACGAAGAAAAGTATCAACATGTGAAAAACATGATGGCTTATATGAATGCTTCACATAAATCTCTTTTTATAATTTATACAAACCGACTATTTAAATTCTTTTTATTTATTATTTCTTCATATGAAGAGCTTATATATATAATTAAAATTAAAATATATATTTTTTTAATAAAATATGAATAAAACAAAACAGGAAATGTTGTGTGGTGAATACATGATCATAAAAAAAAAATATCTTTCAAAATTAAAGATAACAAATCAAATTAAAGATAACAAATCAACCATTGTATGACAGTGGTTTATACATGTGTAAAATGGACTAAGATATGATATGTGAATGGTCCCTTAAAATTATGGTCGATAAAAATATCCTACCTAAAATACTCAATACAAAGATTCATCTTTCACCATGATTCTTGTTTCACCTTGATAAAAATTTATATAGCATGTCAAGTATATATGTATATATTAGCTTAACACTTGAAATTTCAACGTCGGTGTACATAAACAATGGCATTAGGAAGTAATTAACCACTGAAATAATAATCTATAGATCACACTTAGGAGCATAACTTATTGTAGTGAACGAGTGATTATAGTGACGGCTTTGCCTTTTCTATTTTAAGACAATTTCAAAATCGATGGACATTCCTTAATTGCCAAAGAACCAAAGATACAACGACACCTATCTCTTACACTAACCATTTGTGGCCTCCCCATTTTAGGAAAGTTTGGTCTACCACCATGTAGCATCCACCAATCTCATTTTTAGTAGATACATTACTACAAAAGGTATGGTCCAAAACAAATTCATATAAATCATCGAATCTGTCTATATGTATTATATGGATTAAGAGTATAGTATACTTAGTAAGTTTGATATTCATTGAGTACTATCTATAATCTATAATTACTAAAACATTATGTGATATGTTCATTGAGCAATGTTTTTACGTGTAAATTGATGGTTAAGGATCTAAACTAACCTCAAAGAGTACGCAGCACTAGTCCATAGCTCTGTCTTGTTGGCGACCAGTACTAATCTAAGGAAAACAAAAAAAGAATAAAACTCGTCCGGTACTTTTGGTATGATTTTCATTATTGGAGCTGAGCCATACCAAATTGTCACACAGAGCAATCCAATATGTACAAAACTAAGAATGCATGATTGTGAAAAAAATGTAAGAAAACGTATCACATGGAGATGGGGGAGGTACATAGTACGTCGTCGTAGGGGACCTAGCTCCCTTGTTAGTGTTGGTGGAGAGAGTCCTTGTCTACAATTATAATGAAGTTTGATTTTTTAAGTGCTTGTGTAGAGTTGTGATACTTCTATTGGTACCTCAACCACTAAAATATTTAACAATTTGTGCAATATATATACTTCTATTGGTATAACAAGTTTTTCAATCTTTGGATGAATTGTTGCTCTCAATATGTTTCTAACTTTGACTTTTGTTTGCTTCATTATTTCTGATACAACCTTTGACATCTCAAGTTCCCAAAGACATAGTTCAGATACACAGGAAAATTATGTACTTGAAGGAGTTGAAGAAAGGAATTAGAGAAAGAAAAAAGTGAGATAATTATTCTTTTGCATGTGGGAGGCTGTGAAAAAGGAGAATTTGACTTAAACCAAAACTAAAAGGGGAGAATTTGAGATATTTTTATTTATTTATACATGTTAGTTTTTTTTTTATTACAATGCTAAAATGATTTACTTTTGCTCTTTATCAGTATATATTAAACTATAGATATATTCTCATATTTCTTACTTACTTTTCAAATAACAATTCGATTTTTTAGTTGATCTTAACATCTTCTGACTCAATGTCCCTCCAGTACAATTAGTATCAAAATACATGTAAAAGCTAAAGCATAACTATTTAAAAGGTATATTGTAAAATTTAAATGGTGTATTGTAAATTTTATATATAAAAATTTAGATTAAACTTAAATAAAGAAAAAAAAACAAAATTTTATAAAATTCCACAATATAGTTGGTGTTTGGGATCCTCGTCAACTGTAATATTCACCGTAAGAAGCCTTAAGATGACTCTGTGGTGCTATCATATCAATCCATATGGATTAAAACATATGGTGGATGCCATATTTTGTTGTGCGGATATGTTTCATTTTGTTATCCTATTGATTATGATCCTCCCAAATTGATACATATTATTCATTGTGTCGGTATTTAGAAATACCTTGTATGGCTGGATGGTGTTCCTTTAGTAGGACAATGTCTTCTTGGTTAGCTCCAATGGCATAATCATTTACCATAAAAATCATTGCAAACTTTTTAACACATATTTCTTTCTTACACAAATACAGTGAAGATCATCCTTACTGCTTATATATTGGCTCCTATTGCTAAAATGCGTAATCTCTTAATGACGATTATAATTCGATTATGCAAAAAAAATTTCAATCAAGAAAATTTGCATAATCTTATTAGAAAACGCGAAATTTTACGATTTTACTTTTGTATATGTTGGTAATACTGTATACTATTATATAATCTGTAAAATCTTTCCTATCAACATATGTTTTATTATGCGAAGAATATTATATGTACGTTCATCAATTCTCTTTGGGGTCGAATACTTAGCTAGTTATGTTGTAACACGATATTAAGATAAGTGTTTGAGAAAGATGAGGATTCGAATAAAACGGGACATGTGTAAGAGACCATAGAGACATAAGAAGTGGAACTCATGTGTCACCATCTCTATCTTTGCTCTTTTGTCTCAAAGTCAAATCATATCTCAATGCATAGAATTACTTATTAGTCATCACATTAATTCGATTTTAACAAAAATATACAACACACAAATATTTTATTTTTTTCGAATAATCAAAGAGGTTCTAGGTTAATATTTTATTTTTTCGAATAATCAAAGAGGTTGTAGATCAAAACCATATATCTTCTCTGATCCGAAACCAAAGCATGTTATATGGTTTTATCTTAAGTGCTATTCGAACCGGTGATTTCTAAGATTTTGCCAGAAATCTTTACCAATTGAGCTATTAACACTTGATAACACACAAAATTGTACCAAAGCCGAATAAAAACAGCTATATAAGTCCCTCCCTAGAAAACTTGTGAAAATTAATTGGAATCCAACTACGAAAGCCACCGAAGCAGTATTATTATTATCTCCAAGAACATGTAGGGTGCAGAAGGGCTAAATTACAGAGGCTTAATTCAAAATGTTGTCTCTATTTAAGGTTATTTCCACTAAGACATGTTCCCACATAAAACATCTCTATGCATATCACATCTTGTCCCTCATCTCCTTTGGAACATCATCCATCATCTTCACTTACTATCCCCCAAAGCTTTTTAAGATAATTATTTTGCTTCCCTAATAATTATCTAGCTGACTAATTTTTCTATTACTTCTTGCACAATTTTACTAGTCTCTCAGTTTAAATTTACTGCCTCAATAATATATTGAAGACTATCTAATTTAAATTTATTAAATAAAGATTGTATAGTAAAGGTTGAATAAAAAATTCTATACAAAATTTATTTTATTCATAATATTATATAAAAATTCAAAATATTATACACTATATAGTAACTTAAAATTTACTAAATTTTACAAATTCTTAAATAATTTTCAGTTGACAAGATCTATTGTACTTAATCAATAGCTAAAAAAATTAAGACAAGATAGTATTTATGCATGTATAAGATATGATTGGATTATTTGTTTTTTTTTTAAACATTATCTCTATATTTTGTTTTGTTATACATTGATAGAAATATTTATCTTCGGATACTGAATAACCAAATAGAAAATACTAATACATCTCAGATAACATGTGGAACATTCTATCTCTCTATTTTTTTTAAGTGTCTAATAGAAATTACCACTTTTGTTAACTTGTAAATCGTTTTCAAACCCATGTTAATGTTGTCGAGTTCTAGTTTGGGTAAACAAGATTATCACTATAACTATTATTAAAAATACAAAAAAAAAATAAAGTATTTTGACGAGTCTCTGTGCTTATTTATCAAAATGGTCCTCTTATCTAATATTTAGAAAGATGTGTTATCTCACTGAACAAATACAAATGTCACAAGAGAAAGTTGTAGGTAGCACAACATCATAGTGATTGATGAACAACCAAAATAGTACATGGAATTTTCTACTAAAAGGTAATGACGACATTTCAATAACTTAATTAATCGTTAATACATTTAAAAAGTGAATAGAGAGACAGATTAAAAAGAGACGTGTTAGATGAAATTATTAGATGTGTCAATGTTAGAGACATTTTCACATCTCCTTGGAAACAACTCTCTTCTAGGTCACTATCTTTTTTCTTTTGTAGATGTCAAAATCTTATATTAACTTCTTTTTTTGTGTGATGAATTTGGATCTTATCCTCATTTTAAGAAGAGAATTGACTTTTTTTTTTCTTCTTTTTTCTCAATTCACTTTTTGTGTCCTATAAAATAACGTTTTTGTAAGAAAACGTATATATGCCGACCAATAGAGACTAATGATGATGGAACTAATGGGTCTCAAATCCACTGGTTGGTTATATGTTGTGTAAAGTGTCACTAACCTTATATGTTTGTGGAAGAAATTGAAATGTTTTCTCTTTACCATTTAGTTTGCTATGCGCTCTAGATGGACTTAGGTGGATTAGTAGGAGCCAATGCTCCACTCTACATTTGCTTTTTTTTTTTTTTTAGATCTTATCCCAAACATGTTTTAATTTGACATATATAATTTTGTAACTAATTCAACTTAATTATATATGAGTTTGCAATGTTTTTATATGGAAAATTTAGGCAATCATCTCCCAATGTTATTAATTGGGAACAAACTCAAATTATTTTTAATCTATATGCAATTTACTTTTATTTTATTTTATTAATATCCGTACACCCGTAAATCTTCTCTAGTATAACTCATATCATATGAAATAATTTTTCTTTACAAGACCTTTCCAATGTGAAACGAATTTGTTTCCTCCAAAAATTTTATGTCAATAAATTAAGGATTACCTCAATTTTATTTCTCTTAATTTCACTTACTAAGTTAACACATAGTTTGGTACTTGTTAGTATTTAGTAACAATACTATATAATAGCTGGCTACGAAAATTGGTTATATAAATTCCAAGGAAACTAATAATCAATAAAAAAAAACATATTCATTTCTTGTAAGAATAAATTGAAAAAACAAACATCATTAAGCATAACAATGAGATTTGAACATAACTTATATTATAAAAGGGAAGAGATAATACTAGCTTAATCAAAAATATGCATGTGTGAATTATGAAGGGCACAAAAAAAAGAACACAAGAAGTTATATTTTATCTATTGCAATAATAATATCTATCTATCAATGTAAGAAGAGAAGGAATATTCCAAAGTTCATAGATATATCAAAGCCGACTCTATTGCCCACGTCTCTTCTCTTAAGTTTTGTGGACACTGTCTCAAGTATCCACATCTGTTACACTCATCATTTTTTGGGTACTAATGCGGTCCTCAAAGTAAGAGTCACAATCTGCACTATCACATTTTTATACTTTTCTCTCTTGTTCTTTTATTACATTAATATAACCAAATGTTCACGTTTTGTTTTTGCTTTTCTTGGCTTAAAAAAATCTAGAGGTCGCCGGTTCAAATATCGTCTGGGACGAGTTTGAAAAGATGTATGAGTTCCGGTCCAAAATCTCTTAATTATTAAAAAAAATAACAAATTATGTTACTAAGCAATTTTTTATTTTTTATTTTTTGCCGTCTCTAAAGATGTGAAATACAAGAAAATAAGAGATCATTGGAATGTAGAATTAACGGTTGCATTAAGAGGGTTTCACTTTTATTGTCTCGAGTTTAGAAGTGGAGCCGTTGGCCAGCAAAGAATGGCTGAAACAATAAAAAAAAACCAAAACAAGTTTTTGTTCTGATCAGGAACCAAAATTAGTGAACACTAAGGGTGAGGAAGAAATAACAAAGAAGTCGTATGACTAAGGTAATGGAATAATTTAATATTCACACATGAGAGAATACGTTAATAAGTCAGATACAATGAACATAGGAATCTATCTTTTTAGGCGATACTAAGCATCTTGGTTACGGATTTCATTTTTGAAAATGATGCAAGAAAATAAAGTTGCTTAGAGTTCATGATATTAGATGCTAAACGTTTTACAACTTAATAATGCATAGATGAAATGAACTAGACATTTTCATCAGTCTTTTGGATCCTCTGTTTTGCTCTCTTTGGTGACCAATGAGTTCGACTCAGCACAGCTACCTTCAACAGCAACAGTTATTACACCGCATTCACTGTCTAGTCGGTCCAATGGGTTCTCGGCATTTTCTTCCTCTGTATTCGGGAGGGATGAAGGTGACTCTGTACCTTCAGCAATCACGGTTTCTTCGTCAACGTCCATACCTACCACTGCATTGGGGGATGGCTGTAATTGAACTTGAGGTTCTGAAGAACAGCCCGTAGATACATCAACTAACTCACATTCAGCAGTTTCAACTTGATCTTGATCCGCAATGTTTCTTTGCGCTGTAGGAGACAATGAGGGATCGTTATCAGGTAATTGACTCTCTGAATTTTCTTTATCCGTCATTGGGAGAGATGAAGCGAGTTCTGAACCTTCAGCAACCACAGTTTCAGATTTATTTGCTTCCTCTAAGTGACCGTGCACGCATTCCTCTGGCTCTGCGGATGACTGTAACTGAACTTGAGGATCTGAAGAACATCCAGCAGTTTCAACTTGATCTTGATCCTCAATGTTCTTATGCACAACTGCAAGAGACGATGATGGCTCGATATCAGCTAAGTGGCTCTCAGCAACCACAGTTTCAGATTTCGTTGTTGCCTCTAAATTATCGCTTGTACCTTCCACTAGCTCTGTGGATGGAGGTAATTGAACCTCAGGTTGTGGCGAAGATCCAGTAGAGACATCAACTAACCCACATCCACCAGGTTCAACTTGATCTTGATCCTTTTCCACAGCTATAGGAGACGATGATGGCTCCATATCAGCTAATTGGCTCTTGGCATTTTTTTCCTCCGTCAATGGGAGAGATGAAGGGAACCCTGTACCTTCGGCAACCACGGTTTGAGATCTCTGAGTTTGGTCTAAGTGAGCGTGCATATCTCCCTCTGGCTCTGCAGATAGCGGTAAAGGAACTTGAGGTTCTGATAAACATCCAGTAGAGACATCAACTAACTCACAACCCGTAGTTTCAACTTGATCTTGATTCTCAATGTTCTTTTCCACAGCTGTAGGAGACAATGATGGCTTGATATCCGCTAATTGGCCATCGACATTCTCTTCAACCATCATTGGGAGGGATGAAGAATGTTCTGTACCCTCAGCAACCACTGTCTCTGCGGATGGTGGTAATTGAACTTGAGGTTCTATCAAACATTGAGTAGAGACATCAACTAATTCAGATACAGCAGTTTCAGCTTGGTACTGATCTTGTGCCTCAATGTTCTTTTCCACAACTGTTGGAGGAGATGAGGGCTCGATATCAGCTAGTTGGCTCATGGCATTTTCTTCAACCGTCATTGGGATGGAAGAAGGGGATGCTGTACCTTCGGCAACCACTGGCTCTGTGGATGGTGGTAATTGAAATTGAGGTTCTGTAGAACATCCTGTCGAGACAACAACCAGCTCACATCCAGCAGTTTCAACTTGATCTTGATCAGTATCCTTTTCCACAACTATAAGAGATGATGAGGGCTCAGTGTCAGCTAGTTGGCTCTCAGCATTTTCTTCCTCCATCTTTGGGAGAGATGAAGAGAATTCTGTACTTTCGACAACTATTTCTGATTTGCTTGCCCCTAAGTGAACATGCATATCTCCCATTGGCTCTGTGGATTGTGGTAACTGAACTTGAAGTTCTCTCGAACATTCAGTAGAGACATCACCTATCTCGGATACAGCAGGTTGAACTTGATCTTGAACTTGTGCCTCAATGTTCTTTTCCACAACTGTAGATGGCAATGAGTGCTCGATATCAGCTACTTGGCTCTCAGCATTCTCTTCTGCCTTCGTTGGGAGGAAAGAAGGGGATTCTGTACCTTCAGCAACCACTGGCTCGGCGGATGGTGGTAACTGAATTTGAGGTTCTGTCAAACATGCGGTCGAGACAACAACTAACTCATGTCTAGCAGCTTCAACTTGATCTTGATCCTCAACATTCTTTTGCATAACTGTACGAGGTGGTGAACTCTCGATATCAGCTAACTGGTGTAAAGACACATCAACACTCATCTCAGTGTTGCAAATATGATTGCCATCAGGATCTTTGAATTCTTCAGTATCCATCTGATCAACCAAAATTGATGGCTCGGGCTGGATATCAGCTAATTGGTCTAAAGACAGCTCAGCACTTGTATCAGTATTGCAAATGTTACCGGCACAAGGATCTTTGGATTCATCAGTAATTTGATCAACCAAAATGGATGGCTCAGCCTGGATATCAGCTAATTGGTGTAAAGACACATCAACACTTATATTAGTGTCGCATATATTATCGGCACAAGGATCAACGGATTCTTCAGTATCCATTTGATCAACCAAAATGGATTGCGGGGCCTGGATATTAGCTGAGTTATTTTCCAGCATAGTAGCGCTTATCTCTACCTGAGATTCTACAGAACCTATGCAAATTTGATCCCTTTTATCCCTTTCTTCAACTACTTCTGACGTTTCACATTGAGATAAGCTATTTCTGTTCTCATCCTCAGACTGGACAGAAGACAATGGCTGACACGTCTTACCTGATATTATGCCAACATCAACATTTGTACTGTTCTGCATGGTATCCATTTGCTCACAGTTGCCACTGTCTGGTTGTCCTGGTACATCATTTGGTAGTCTTGGTACCTCGTCAGGCAAGATACTTGGAGACTGGATTTCCTCAGTCTGGGAAACCACAGTGTCTGGCTCTATTCCATGAGGTGATGCAGACACATCCACATTCACTTGCAAATTTTCAGGGACTTTCTCACCAACTAGGGACACGTCTGTTTGATCGTGTGACACTTCTAAGTCATGTGATACTTCTTCGACCTGCTCAGATGAAATATTCATTTTTTCGTCATTAGACATACTTTCTAGTTGTCCTGCCACATCATCCGGTAAGATACTTGGAGACTGTTTTCCCTCAGACTGAGGAACCACAATGTTTGATGCTGCTCCAACTAAGGGAATGCCTGTTTGATCATGTGACATTTTTAAGTCATGTGATACATCTTGGACCTGCTCCGATGAAATATTCATTTTTTCGATATTTGAATTTTCTAGTTGTGCTGCTACATTGTACGATAAGATACTTGGAGACTGTATTCCCTCAGACTGGGAAACCACAATGTTGGGTTCTGCTCCATGAGGTGATGTAGGTACATCCGCATTTTCTGGCAAGTGTTCAAGGCCTGTCTCACCAACTAGGGGACTATCTGTTTGATCCTGTGGTGCTTTTAAATCATATGATGCATCTGGGAGCTGCTCAGATGAACTATTCATTTTTTCGCCATCAGACATACTTTCTGGTATTTCATTTTCCCTATCAATACCACTTGAATCTGTATGAGCACGTGTCTCTGATTCAAGCCCCTTATGTTCCATCGCTTTCATTGTTGGACTGGAAACAAGAGACTTCCCATGTTCATCATCTCCTTCACTATCTTTTATATTCACAAAAGGGGCATGGCTAACAGCATCATCACTGGGCATATGGGATTCAAGAGTTTTCTCCTTTTCCTCATTCTCAACTGAACAACCCGCTAGAACTTTGGTATCATCAGTATCCTCCATCTGTGTGTCAGCAGTGCCAACTTTAGGCCTATCAACACCTTGAACCAAAACAGATTCTTCAGGATCTTGTTCTGTATCAGCAGATTTAGATATAGGATCATTGTCACTATGGTCAAGGGACATGGAGTTCTCATTGCTTGTAACTGAAACCACTTCCTGCATGTCAATGCTACTGTGATCCTTTTGGCTAACATTTGGCATTTCATTAGTCTCCAGCACAGACGATTGTATTACAACAGAATTTGTTGCCTCATCTTCTTTCACCGTCTGATTTGCAATATTAAGAGATTCTCCATCCAGATTTCGAACTTTATCTGTTATACTGGCTTGAAGTTCCTCAGAATTCGTCTCAATCTTGGAGTTAACATTCATTTTTTCTTCCGGACTAAGGGGGATAGCTTCTCTTTTATCAGCATTCAGATCTTTACCTTCCACTTGAAAAGAAATATTTGTCTCCAAATTGTCAGTAGGTAGATGTTCTACAGTTGTCGATGCAGTAGGCTCAGATCGAACATAACTCGATGAAGATGTTGTTTCTTCTGACAGCTCTACACCCACGTGGTATGTTTCACCATTACCAGAATCTTGAGACAATTTTTCATCCACAAGCTGATCTGCAGTGCACTTTTCCAAAGACGATTTAGCAGCAAAAGCATTTCCCAAACTGAGTTGTATCACAGAAGAATCTACTTCACCACCCGGAATCTTGACAAGGTCATTCTCAGCAGCAGCTTTAGTCGACCCAATGTCACCATCATTGTTTGCAACTGATCCTGAAGTTATCAGATCACCAGAAACAGGGTGGGAAACATCTAAAACCAGTTTTTCTTCCTTGCTCAGGTTATGTGGAGCTTCTTGATTCTTAACACCACAAGAATCCTCTTCCATTTGCTTGGAAGAGTGGATTTCATTCTCTGCCTTGTGGGTCTCAACTGTGTGCAAATTCATCTCACCTGGGGATTGTGAGTCAGGCGCATTTGCTTTAGCTGTTACAGAAGGCTCTCCAACTTTATGTTTTAATAAGGAAGTCTCTGAAAAGATCTCTTTCATGACACGAGCAACATCAGTTACATCAGCAGTTTGTTTCCTAGAGGAACCAACACCACCAGAGGTGTCTCTTCTACTTTCCTGACTCAAGCTGCCAGAAGTGTGAATATCGGCTGCAACTAACTGGCTAAGGTGGGGTTGTTCTTTGGCAACAGCATCAGACTTATTTCCAGCCGATATAGCTTTAGTGCCTGTTGAATTACCAACTTTAAGCTCTATTTGTGTACCCTTAGCAGAAGAGCCATCAGTAGCAGGTAACGCTTGACCACGCCTCTTTCCTTGGCGTCTGGGAGTTTCTCCTCTACTTGGCACATTGCGGCCTCGCCTCTTAGCAGGAATGGCTGCAGGAGAAGGAATATTGGCTTCTTGAGCTGAAAAAAGATGACATGTAGAACATCGAAGATTTAGAAACCAGAGCATCTTTGAGCAAGTTACGATGCTTCATAGATTTATTACCTTCAACTGAAGAACCGTCAGGTTGAGAACTCCCTGGCAGAGTAGCATCAGCAGGTGCAGCTGTCACAAGTGGCAAACGACCCTCTGGATGTTTATTTCTTCCAGCCTCAGAATTTTTGGTTCCATCACAAACAGAAGAGACAGCACTCTGATTTTGCATAGGGCCAGCACCTGCCAAAATAACATGGCATTGAGATTCTCGTCACCACTATGTTCTCAAGCAAGTTATAACTACATGAATATAAAATCCACAAAGTGATGTTCAATTTATTTACCCAATAAAGTAGAGCTAGTGGAGACGGGCAAATCATGTTGCTGTTTATTAAGTCCTGGATGCTGGGAGCTCACACCCTGAATCAAAGGCCTCTTCTTTACGGCAGCTGTTTTTCTTTCCAATGAATTCTCAAGTACATTTAGCGTCTGAACATGGGATCCTGAAGCAAACCCAGGTGGTGCATCTAGGTCATTATCTGCTGCTTTGTCTGATTGAACTCCAGTAGTATCAGAAATCACGGGAGGTACTGAGTCAGGATATGAAGTACTTCCGCCACTATGTTTTGTGGCTTCTGGATCCCTTGCAAGAGCTGCAGCAGTTTCAGTTCTCTGAGTACTAGAACTGTTGGAACCATGTAATACACCTTCACCTCTTCTTCCCCTTCCTCCTCCACGCCCCCTGCTTCTTCCCCTACCTCGACCTCTTACTGGCATAGGAGCAGGAGATGCTGGCAATGATTGAAAACCAGGAGGGGCAGATAAATCAGGCGATGTCAGGGCCGGAGAGGAACTAGAATGAGAAGCTGCTTCTAGCTTTTTATCCGGACTAACAAAGGCAGGGCCAGTTCCTGCCGACGATATAGCACTCCCTGTTGCCTGTGTCCTGCTTACAGCTGATAATGATACAGGGGTCAAGGCTTTATCAGTTCTCTTCGGCCTACCACGGCCCCGTTTGATAGGCTGTGTTTCTTCTTTCAGTGGCTGCGGCTGTGGCCTTAGAGGTTCCATTGGTTGTGAAGTTATTGCCAGTGTCGGAGATGTAGGAAGTAGTGTGTCAATAGAGGTTTCAAACGGAATAATTGATGTATCATTCACCAAGCTTTTTTCACTTCCTTCGCCCTTGCCTTGGGGAGAATCAGGTGACTCAGTCTGGCACAACTTCTCAAACTCCTCCTCTGTTAGTTTCTCTTCATAAGATCGAACCTAAAGAAGTTGCAATATTTGTCATTCTATGGAATACGCAAAATGCTACATGCAGGATCATATTATGAAGAGAAACCTCAACAAACCTCTCTTGCTCGTTTCCCTCTTCCATATTGGTGAGTATCCAGGCCTCCCATCGAACCATCCTTCCGCTTCATGCCAACAGTTGATTCTTTTGCAACCATCGGGACATCATTTAGTTTCATTGTTTCATATAGTACTTTTAAATCATCTTCAGTAACAAGCCGAGATGGTACAGGATGGGCAAACTTATCTGACCCTGGCCCATGTACCAAGGTATTCCATGTTTCCTGCAGGGCCATATCTTTTTCACATAAACATCAAAAAACGAAATAACCCAAAATTAAAATTAATAAACACACATACCATCTCATGTTCTTTCCTTTCTTTGTCGATGGACTCAAAGATATCAATTTCTGACTCCCTAGAAAGACAACAAAAATGTCAGATCTGCAAGAAAGTTGAAAGAAAATCGAGATGCATGGAAATGTAAAAAGATTGTCTTCTTTAAGAATAAGACAGAAAGTCAATCTATCAATTAACACATCCCACGTGAAGAACACCAGTAGACGCCATACAGATCGAAAATATTATGTAAAGATAGAATAGCAGATAACTGTTTACAGTTAGAAAGTGCAAATACTTTGTACAAACTGATTGCAGTAATCTTATAAAATTGCTAGATAAAAATCACAGTGCACATGCAAAGGAACAAACTATCATGATAATTTAACAACCATGTATGCATAGGCTCTTATAAAAATTAAAATATGTGCACAAGTAATATACTCTGAATAACAAACAATATGAAAAAGAGCAGTTACCTTCGAGCTATAAGATCATTTAAGGCATCATCATCCAATACTGGAGCATCCTCCTCTTTCTTTGATTCACGCAAAAGGGATTCCAAATATTCCTTACGATCTTCAGCACTGTTACAAAGTAATAAATTAATTTAGAGAATTGGTAGGTGAAACCTGTTGAAGCATAAAAGGGATGTCTCATGATTTACCTTGTGTTATTGTCAAAGAAGCCAGCGGTTATACTCTGGTTAGCAACTCCAAGTTTGTGCTCGGCTGAAGCTCTCACTTGCTCCTCAACAGAATTAACCTTAGGATACAATTAAGGACGACAGACAAACAAACAGTTCAAACAGCTTGAGTATATAATAACATGTCAATTGTAAGGGATCAAGCCAAAAAAACAATAGGTATTTCCCAAGAGTACTGCATATTTCTATTTTCCCCATAAGTCATGCTGAACAGTCATAAATTTAGGGCAGCATCACTATAGTATATATCCCAATAATGAAAAAACAGAAACCAAATATTCCAGTGTAAAAGTTACAACCATTCACAAATCAAGCAATTTATTCAGATATTTGAAATTCTTACACAATAAATAAATAAAAACTTACCGTTTCAAAACGAAGAACAAGCACATCTTTTTTCTGGCCAATCCTGTGAGCCCTTGCTTGAGCTTGCAGATCAACCTGAAATGTAAAATAAATGCTGCTTCAAGTCTGGCCTGATGTCCACAGTATTTAACTGTATTTAACTATAACTTAATATTAGTAACTGTTATGTCTAACCTGAGGATTCCAGTCGGTGTCAAATAATATTACAGTATCAGCAGCCTGAAGATTAACTCCTACTCCACCAGCCCGTATGCTGAAATTCCATGAAAATTTTCAGCAATCACATACAAATAAATATTAGCAGTACTGAAAACACGAAAGTTTACAACTTGTATTTTGGAATATAACTAAAATCTGTTAAGAGTGAACATGAAGCATCCTGATAGAGATTAAAGCTACAGAAAGCCAGGCCATGATATATAATGGATCACCTTAACAGAAATATGAAAAATGGGGAACCCGACTTGTTGAACCCATCGATAAGAGCACCACGATCACCCCCAGATGTCTGCCCATCCAGCCTAAGGTATTTGTACCCCTTCAAGGTGAGGTAATCCTCCATAACATCAAGAAGCCTCGTCATTGTGGAAAAGAAAAGAACCTGCAGGAATTTCACGGATAACAAACAGAAAAATAACAACCATTTATAAGGTTTTGCAACCAAAGAAAGGTAAACATGTAAAAAAGTTACAGCTTACGATATATTTGCGCATTTCACAAATAACAGAAAATTGTATATTTTCAACTTGAAGTTCTACATAAAGTGATATGGAAGCAACCAAATAAAGGATAATATGCTAGCCGGAAAAAAAAAACACAGTTTCGAGTGAAAAAGAAAGACAGTAATGCTTCATCCAAACAAAACAAAATTTCAAAAACTTCTTGTGATAGACACCCTATCACTTCAGAGGCGAAGGCAACACTATGTACTCTAGCACACAACTTGAAAACAAGGAATCTAGCTTCAATAATCAGCTTTTGCCTTGAATTATTATAATTATGCTATTTCCAGGAGGGATAAGAGAGAAAGCATTACCCGATGGTCTGTTGCTTTAAGTTTGGGTAATAGTCGATCCAACATCTCAAGCTTCCCACACAGTCTTACAATTGGGGGCAGAAAATGCTTAGGAATTATGTTATTGACCTAACAAAAGATAAAATTCCCTTCATTAGGTTTATTCATAGTGTGGAACCAGCGATCCATTACATTAACATAAATAATTCCACAGAGAATGATAATGATTACCTCCTCTGAATGCAGTTGGCTTAGATATGGATGATTGCAAATATTCCGAAGCTCCATTACTGAGTTGTGCACTGCACGAGACTGCAAGAAAAAAAAAATTAAGACATAACTCAACATAATCCCAAAACTGCCAACACCTGGAACAGAAAACAACACCTTCGCATTTCCAATTGAGCCCAAATTATCCTCAACCCTCTTCATCAACAACTTCTGATACGCAGAAGCCTCACAGCGTATCAATCTCTCTATCTTTTCAGGAAGCTCATTCTCAACCTACAAAAATAAGTTAGCCAATACAATTATAAACATGTCAAATTAAACTTAAGAAAAAATAACTGAGATAATTGCATTGGAAGATATCCTTCCATATCATTAACATATCAAAGTGACAAAAAGGAGAAAATATGAACCTTATGTTTTAGCCGACGTAGCACAAATGGTCGAAGAACTTGGTGAAGTCGATTGATGATCAGTAGATTCTCTTCTTCTGATAGTAACGCCTGCTCAGATTGCAGCCACACAGATGCAGTTAATACCACAATGCCTTAAGAAGACTATACTAGTTAGTATTTTAATATCAAACACAGTCAAGGCTACCTCTTCAGCAGAATTTTCTCCATTGCTTTGAAATGGTTTGTTGAACCACTGTGAAAAGTCTTCTGACGAGTTGAAAATATTAGGCAGCAGGAAATTAAGCAGAGCCCACAATTCTTCTAAGTTGTTCTAAAATAGATGAAAAATAATGATTGTAAAGCCAAGAGTATGTCAATATCAAAATGAAAAGAGAGGGAGAAAGAAAGAAAATGTACCTGCAACGGGGTTCCAGTTAACAGGAGTCGGTGGGAGCTAACATAGTGTTTCAGGTCTGCATTTAACTTGCAGGATGCATTTTTTATGCGATGTCCTTCGTCAATAATAATGTAATGCCAGTGAATCTTGCTTAATTTCGGTCTATCATGCTTGTTCATTAGATATTCATATGTCGTCAGAAGGACATTGAACTTCTGATGAACAATTTGCTCCCTACAACGGAAAAGGAGATAGTGAACCTTGATATCTAAGACATAAGAACAATAAACAAAAAAATTTGCCTCTCTTTACTTAAATAGTTTGCGCCTTTCCTCAGGAGGCCCACAGTATACAATTTTATGAATTGATGGGGCCCAGAAGTTAATCTCTGACTGCCAGCCAGGCAGAACCGAAGATGGTACAACAACCAAGAAGGGACCTCTATCGTTTTTTGTCTCCATCAGATAGCAAATCAAAGAAATAACCTACAAAATCAAAAAAACTTTGTAACTTTTGGAACAAAGGCATCTTATAAGAAAATCATACATGTGTGCATATACCCCAAATGGGATGGCATTAAATACCTGAACAGTTTTCCCGAGACCCATCTCATCAGCTAAAATGCCATTTAAGTGATTGTTGTACAGTGAAAGTAGCCACCTTAAGCCATTCATTTGGTACCTAAAATGAAGGTTTTGTATTTGTAAACATCCCACGCAAAATATTTCAAAAAAGGTTCTCAAATATATAGTAAGGCGGGGCATGGTCCACTTACTCTCTTAACTTTCCACCCACTAGGCACGATGGCTGCTCATTGATATTTTCTTTTATACTGCAAAAGAAAATTTTGTGAGGAATTATATCCACATAAGACTCTATTTACAAACAACATAACCACCTTGTGGAAAAAGAAAAAAGAGGCAAGAAAGATGACAACTCACATACGAACAGAAAGCTAAGGCATTAGAATGACATTATGGGTGATTTATAGACTTTACACTGTAATTATAGGACGCAGAATATTACCTGTGCGCCATCAAGTAGTATTTTTCGTTGCTTTCCAGGTAGTGCTGCATAACATGTATCTTAACCATGAGAAGCAAATGGAAGAAATCTCACCCAAAAAAAAACTTCCTGGGAAATAGAACTTACCTTTGCTTGGTCGCTTTCATCTTCATTTTCTACTAAAGTTTCATCTTCAGTAGCATTTGAAATACGCGTTTCATCTGCCTCATTCTCAAATCGACTGGTCAAAGATTTAGCCTCCTTTAATTTGGATCCAAGTTTCTGAAGGTACTTTTCAGTCTCTTTGAGTAGTTGCTTTACTCTGTCTGACTTGGCGTCCTGCATATTCACCAACATTCATAAGTACACACCAATATCAAAGAAGCAATATAAACCAAAAAGTTCTATATTCAGTTCAAAGACCAAACCTGCACCATTCGGAGATAACCCTCCACATCATTTATCTTTAACAAATTAATCTTCTCGCGTTGAATTTTGTCAATCTTTTCGCGGTGAAGCCGTTCCTTTCTTTTGTGGAACTCCTTCACATACCTATTGAAACTCTTCAACCTTTCTCTCCTAACTTTAAACAAATCCTCCAGTTTTTCCCTAAAGCAAGGTTTTAAACAAGGATTACGTACAGAACATTATAAAATGTATCTGCTACTCTTTGATTCACCTAATGAGAATGAAATAGGTCAGAAAACTAATTGCACATACTTGTGAACTTCTAAGCCCCCAAAGAACTCCTTCTGTCTCTCACGAATTCTTCTTTGTCTCTCTTCCTTCATCTTCTGCTCATACTTTTCAAGCTGCTTGATTCTCCGGCCATGCTTATGTTTCTTATATGACTTAAGATGCTCAACATCAGTTGCAATAGGTTTGAAGAAGTTGTAAACGAACTCACTGTTTCAACATCAACATAAAACTAGCAGCTGAGAGGTGATACAACAGGTTGAATATTTATATGCACAGATTTTACAGATAAAAAGAAACTATGCATCCTCCGCCGTATAACAAAGACGTATTATTTAGCTGTATACATGTTAGCTGACTTATTAGCATAATACATATCAGAAGGTGAAACATCTCCATAAGAATATTTTCTAAGCAAATGACATTCACCAACCTCCTCAATCGTCGTTGTAGATTTAACAGCTGAAGCTTTTTCAGTTCTATTACACTCTTGGTCTTTGCAGATATATCCTCTGACAAACTCACAGATTCCTGCAGAGTAGGATACATGAATCAGTGTCATCCAGATCCAGAATAAATGATAGTGAGACCTCATAAAGTAAGGACACAAGTACAAGTAGTTCCTTAGTGTTACTACTATGTGCAGTATCAATGGTTCTTCAGTATTACGTTAAATCATTTCTACCATTTATACTTCACATAGTAGTAACACTAACCTCAAGCCCGAAACAGCTAACATCGCAGTTACTTAAAATATGACAAAGCGAACAGAAGAACCTCATCACAGGAAGTTTTCTAATGAATTTTGTAAATTGAAGCAAATGAGTGTTCCTTAATGGAAGACGAACAAATAATAGGAGTTACCCATCTTGCCTAATACAACTTGAAATTATTTCATCTCAATGAGATCAAATGAATATATTAGCTTGATTTCAATTAATTCCCGGGATCAGTCCAACAGGTTCCAGTGGTATATCACAATGTCAAGCACGTCTTTCATCCAGAACTAGATACTTAAATATTGGTCATTGATCTGTTCCAATAACAAGGTCAAGAGCACATAACAGCAAGAACCATCGCAAATAGCAAGCAATAGTATAATGCAAAAATAGTTGACAACAGAAGAAAATCAACAACCGTGAAAGCAAAAGGTACCACTAACTGATAAGAAGAGAAAAGGGAGGTAGAGATAAACCTTCAGCTCATTGAACCGTGCCCCAATCGCCTGGTCGGCTTTCTGCTGTTTAAGAGACCAACTCCGATCAACCAATAGTCTCTTATTTTGTCGACCCATAATCCATTTCTGCGACATGGTGTATTTAGGTGACGGTTGCAAATTACCTTGCTCTTCGTCTGCTATGTGCCATATATACATGTTCGAAGGGTTATCAACAACATGAGTTGACAATAGTCCACGCCAAAAGGAAAGACCATAATTCAAAAAAATCTTATCTAAGGTAGTCTACTAACCAGAAGCATTAAAATCATCGAGTTGAACAGCAGAAGTTGAGAGGCCATTAGTTTTAATTACTCCAGCCCAGCCCACCATCTCTGATGGAGTGTGTTTGGTCAAACCAGGAGAAAAGGCCAATTGAGAATGACTGACAGCAACCTGAGTTTGTGCTTGAGAGCCTGGAATTTTAGAGGCTAGAAGCTTTTGCCCATCAGAAAATACATTATGTGTGAAACTTTTTTCCCCTAATCTTAATCTCTCGGTTTCTTTGGATGAGAAGTCCATTTCATCCAATCTTCCAGTGGGATTGTCTGGTCTTGACAACAGTGCAGAGACGTCAGGAATGCCACCCAAATCACTGGACGTATGTGTTCTCCCTTTTGAATCAAACATTTCTCCACGGAAACCATCTGTAATGAAGGCCAATTATGATCCAAGGGAAAGCATGAAAAAAAAGTGAATTATAAAGTACGTTCAGCGAGAACCAACATTACCATCTTCGCGGAAAGTATTTCGAAGGGCGATCTCTACATGCAGTTTCTTTGGCACTAAACCATTTCTACAAGAAGGAAATTAATCAGATATATCCGGAGTTACAGTTGCTGCACCAAAATGACTAAACAAGTGGCTAGGAGATTATAAAGTACCTGAGAGCTAGAAACACAAGGCACTGGGCTCTGAGCTGCTTTAGCTGTTGCTCTCTAAAAGGTGAACCTGAGGGTAGTGATCCCTCTGCTGCAACATTATTTCCAGGTTCTTTATGAACTGGAGGCCTGGTTGCTGTGACTTCACTGTTCTGCCAGCCACACTGCCACAGAAAAAAAAGATACTAGAGGGGGTAAATTCCAAATACAGTATCTTTGGTAGCAAGTAAAAGGACATTTTGCAGAGTCAAATTCATGCTAAATACAAGTAAGTAAGATTCAAAACGTCCTATAGATAGCAAAGGATTAATCAAATCATGTTAAGAAAAATGAATTGAGTAGCATCTATGTCTCTAAAAAGATCAAGGCATATTGCAAGCGTGATAAAAAAAATAAAAATACAGAAACAGATGTTTCGGAAAAAAGTCACCATGTGCCAGAACTGTATCTCCTTTTACATTCTCAAAAAAAAAAAATTTGAGCATCAGATAAGTGGAGCAAAAAGTCCAAGTATATAAGAACTTGGCAGTATCAGGCAGGCTCACAATGATTTCATAAACAAAATGTTATGTACACAATATGTATTCAATCTAGAGGGAAACAGGAAATGTAACAGTGTTGTATACCTGTGGAGTTGTGTAGGCATCTGATGACAACCCAACATGCAAATTCCTAATTTCACCTGAGGTTTCATGGCAACAATATTTACAAATAAGCTAACCAAATCATACACAAAAGCAAGTAGCAGGGTCCTTATATGCTAGATTAAAAAGGATATGCTAAGTATTGTAAGAAACAACGTTGAAGCAAACATCCCTACCTGAATTACCAGGCATTTCTATTTTGCTTACTTCTCCAGTCTGATCATCAATCTTGTGCCTATCAAATATTTGAGAGTTGTCCATATTCTGGTCCCATGAAAGTGATGATTCACCTCTCTTTCTCTTTCCACTTGACTTGCCATCTCTTTGATTCATTGTCTCACTCCTGTTGTGAGATTGAGAAATTCCCGACGTAGTATCCAAGTTGGATGGACTCTCACGATCAAATGATCTGTTACTTTGAGTTCCAGACCCTTGGTAAAAGGTTTGTGATGCACTGTTTGATCCACCAAGCTGCCTACCAGAAGCGAAGGCATCGTATTTTGGCATCTCATTTTCAACTAGACTTGCTTTGCCCTCATTGCTAACTCCAACCACTTGGGAAGACCCTGTATTCCACGTTGTGCAAGAAGTTTAGTTCACAAAAAAAATGAAAGAAGCAAACCAACTTTCCCACATATTAAACAAAACTCTTAGCTCATGGAAGAGCATCTGGTCAGCAAACTCTCAACTGGAACAAAGGAGGGAAAGGATTTACCAGCCAAATGTGCAGACCCAGAATCTTCCGTTTGGGTACCACCAGCTTGAGGAAGACACGATGACTTCAAAGCTTCAATGTCAAGACCGTGTTGATTGACCACAGTATCCATGGCCCTTAGAGTTTTGGAAATATCATATTAGTAGAAGTGAAATGAAAAAACAGGAACAAAAGTGACAATTTTCAAAAGCATGAGTAACAGCTTAAGGCTGAATAACAAGTTGTGGATGAATTAAGTGAGCCTTCTGAGACAGAAATACAAGATAGGATGAAGTACAGAGTAAGAAATCACACATTGTACATGTAAAGCTTCGGGCACACTTTTTAGAACTAAGCATACCATATCTCACGGGAAGTACGATTTTTATGAAAAATTCTACAATTATAAGCAGTCTAAGTAATTATATCAGGGCAGGTTGTGGAGATGAAGAAAAAAAATTCAAATCTTCGATTAGATAATGCTACAGCATCTGATGCAGTAAGAAGCAACCCCATGTTCTCATAGCATAAGAAGATAGTCTCACCTTAATCAACCTAAGCAGTAATTCATTTAACAAATAACTAATGATATCTAAGGAAAACAAATACCTAGATATGACTTGGTAGGGCATAGAGTGTTCCTTTCCACTGGTTTTCATGTGCTGCAATATCTAGAGTAATCAAAAGAATAAATGAAGTTAAAGCACAGGGATTAAAGATTAAAATACAAAGTAAAGCATACACCTAGTGAAGCCACATTACCACATAAAGTTTAGTTGCTAGCTTTGCAGGTTCATCTTTAGAATCTTGTATAAGTTTATGCAGAAACTTAGCTGCCTCCAATTCAATATTATGCGAAGATGTCATCTTAAATCTAGATTACACCATCACAGAAGAAATCCCTGCATCACACCAAGCATGCAAGTATTAATTACACAATTCAGAATCATACGAGAAGCTGTAGAATACTTGAAGATACAAAAAAAGACAATCTCCGACCAAGAAAATAGTGTCTGCCCAAAAAAGAAAAAACCAAAAACCTAAACTCTGAGATCATATCAACAAATTATGAAAACTTAACCCAACCCAGAACCAAGTAGAACACAAAGGAGCAAACTTTATGAACCTAAAAGCAAAACTCAGAGGTCAGAATTGATGCGACTGATTAATCAAACATGGAGGCATAACAATTTAGTAAAATTGGCTGATGAAGCTTAAAAATTTCCCAGAACCGAAAGGAGAAGGAGAAAAATTCGCGACTCACTCTACTTAGCGCAACCCAGAAGAAGAAGAAAAACAAGAGTTTGTAACAAAACCCTAAATCACTAAATAACGATCCATCAGTTGAAGAAGAAGATGAAGCAGAAGAAGAAACAGAGGGAGGAGCTTTACCAAATTATCAGATCCGCGTCTAGAAGACGAAGCAGAAGCGAAATTTCAGGTGAAAAACGTTGAGAGCTGAGAAGTGAAGCTGTGTGCGTCGTCTCTGCGGAAGCGCACGAAATGACTGACTCCTCCCAAACGAAATGTATAAAAACTTTAGTCAGAACAATGTCTCGAATGTCCCTTTTGATGAAAAAATGTGATCCCGAATGTACCTCTTTTTAAAACGGGAACTTAAGATTTGTTAAAAAAAAATTGTTTTGTTTAATACTGATGTTGAATTGTTAACATGACAATTTATTTTTATATATATAATTGTAATTAAACCAACCTAATTAAATATGTCTAGTATTTCAAATAATGAAATGCTGATGGCGTAACATGTTTCATTTAACATATTTTATTTAAGACTAAAATATTTTGGTGTACAAACCCGTAAAAAAAATATAAAACTCAAAGTCGTTCAATCATATTAGTAGAGAGATTTTGGTTTTTGTTTTCCAAAAGTCATTGATAATCAATCAAAATTTTAAAATTTTGGATTCGCTAAAATTTAGTAAAACTTTTTTTGTTGTAATCTTCCATTCAAGATTTTGGATTTTTAAGTCTCATATTAGTCATATTTATAATAATTCTGAACTATTGTCTAAAATTTTCTACCGGATATGTAACGTTGTACATACATGTTTTTTTATCGATTGAGTAATATACGTCCGTTTTCAAAAATTCAAATTGTTACATATGCGAAAAAGTTTGTATTTTTATTATACATGTGTTTTATGTAATAATATAAATTTTAAAACAAATAAGATCATATAAAAATATTGGAGAGATATTCGATTTATTAGGAAGACATTTTAGAAAATTTTGTTAAATGTAACTAATATTAGTTTCTAATTTTGTGACTATGTTGTAATTTAATTACAAAGTTTATCTTGAAGTTTTGTTATTTATTTAAATGGTAGTGATTTATTATGAAAATAATATAAAATAAAATATTACTTTACAAATGATACTTCAAAAATGCTAATATAGATTTGAAGGCCCAACAAGAACCTATCAGACTATCGTCTATTGCAGAAAAGAAAAAATAAGGTAAAAATGATTATCTGACCTTAAAAAACATTTTAACATTTTATTAATCATCGACCCAAAATAAAATAAAATTTTATTCTTACTAATCTTTCTATAATGTATTAATAAATGACACAATAAATATTTATATATTTTATTATAGAGTTGACATATATTTAAATTTGACTCATTGTAAACAGAAAATATATAGAGAAATTCCTAGAAAATATATCACACTTTAAGTTTAATAAAAAAATACAACTATTAGTTGACTTTTTCAAAAATACCACAATACTTTTAATTTGTTCAAAAATACCACAAGCACAAAAAGTGATTTTCAAGGTTTGAACTGACTAATTACATTAGGGGTATAATTTTAAGGGGGTAGGAGTTTAATATTTATGATTTAATGTTTAGTTTTGAATGTTGAAAATTTAGTATTAGCTTTTTGGTATTTTTTGGATTTTGGAAAATAATACTTATAATCATATTTTTAGAAAGCAAAACTCATCCGAGTGGTATATATGAGAACTACCAAAGTATATCTAATTTTAAATATTTACCTGGGATAGTTTTCATTGCAACATGTCATTTGTAAACTCTTTTCATCCTCATTTTAAAGTCGATGTTGATGAATAAACTCTTTTTAGGAAGCATTAAAATGAGAAAGAGGTTACCATCTTGGTAAAACCTATAGGGTCGGAGTAGCTCAGTTCGTGGACCCACTTTGTTCTATGTTTTTCTTTATTGATTAATCCCCAAATTGGGTAGGGTCTATGAAAACTGTAACAATCCGCCCTGTGGGATTCCGCCACATGGTAACCTTAAAGTGCTACAGCGCATCGACTCTAATTTCTCTCATGTGGGCCCAATCTTCACAGCCCTCTGGCCCGCAGCTCTCTGGCCCACCAGATAGGTTATTGGTGCGCCTGGCGTTACTCGAACCCAAATCCTCACTGTAACAACCTTCCCACAGGAAAAGCTGTTACCAATTGACCTGGGAAGGTTAATAAAGTGTGAGAACCTGGGTTCGAAAAACGTCAGGCATACCAATAACCTACATGGTGGGCCAAGGATCTGCGGGCCAGAGGACTGCGCAGATTAGACCCACAGGAGAGAGGTTAGGGTCGATGCGCTGCAGCACTGTAACGTTGCCATGTGGCGGGGTGTGCCACATGGCAAGGAGTCCCACGGGGCAAGGTGATTAAAAAACAAAGGCAAAAACAAATTAGGTTATGCTGTCGCCGGGAAAGAGACTCGTATCGTATTGACACTGCGTTGTAGAAACTCAGGTCATGAACAACGGCAGATGCGAGATCCACCGCGGCAAAACAAAATATCTAGTGAACGGGCATGAAGCATCCAACCCCCGCCTCCGTTCCTTTTCCCTCGATCCACCAACCCGCCACGAATCTCCCGACATGACCAAGCTCCGACGATGCAGCACGTTGTTGACAGCTCCTAGACCAAGCAAGCCGACAACTTATGATATAACCTCACTTTCCCAGATTATAACTACAACTCGCGAACCGTCTCGGAAGAAGCAAGTCACAGCGGCAACTGGGGCCGATGGCTCATCCGAAACCCAGACGCCTTGAATCCATGACGGCCAGCAAGTGTTAACCTCCAAGGCGATTCAGCAACCCCACCCTCTCCTTCATTGACTTCCGCCGTAGATCCATTGCCAAGATGACGGTTGAGCCAAGAGAGAGCCGCTACACCCACCGACGTCTTCAATTCGGAGGCACGAAAGCAACACTCTTCTACCGCCACCGTAGATCTGAATCGACGTCAATGAAAGAGAGATCCAACCTTAAGCCAACGGAGAACAGATCTAGTCCACCTAAGCAATCACTGACAACCAAAGGGAATGAAAAGCAGGACCACCAGAACAGATATGGATCTTTGAATGAGAGAGTTTAGGAGATAGAAGAGAGAGTTGAGGTATGATTGTCCTTTTCGACCAAAGGTTTGACCCACTTTTGTTATGATATGAGGTTTTACATACCTTTTCTCTAAAAGATATTTATTAAACCAACGGTCTTACAAACCGGGTTAACCAGCAAACATAATTAACTTGTACCCACAACTCTGTTCGAGAAATATGCACACAAGTCGGTATGATTTCCGGCGAAAGAACAACCAGAATCATCTCCAGACATTATTACTAAACAAAGAAACTATTAAACCGAAAAAGAGATTAAGAATGCAATTTAACTTCACTTTTCTTCTTTCCACCACTGTATCTTTCCCAAGAACAAAAGCATAAAAGACCGGAAACTAGCAACCACGAGGTGAAGCTTCTGAACTCTTGTCATCAGTTGATAAGAGAGTAGACTTCGAAAATTGAAACTTTGGCTTCCTAGAATGGCAAGACAGACCTCAAATGAGGTAATTGAAACCATCAAGAACGCTGGGCCGTTACAGTCGAACAAATCGACAAAAATACGGTTCAAAGGAGCCAAGCAACCCAGAACTCACCAAGATCTAGATTTTGATTCTTGTGGATGAGACTAAATCAGTTGCCCAATCGAAACACCAAACACTTACCTTGTTGTAGATGGTGGGGGGACGGATCGAGATTAGGCCATGGGAAATTCCAGCTAGGAAAGGAAGAAGAAACTGAGATCAAAGTGTTTCCTCAATCAGTTTGGTGAAACAACAAAAACGGCAACAGAATAGCCGTGAGGAAAGCCGGATACACCGGACGGCGAGATAAGACGACGGGATATAACAGCAAAATCAGACTACATATGGAACCATAAGCCGGCACAACATGTTGAACGGCCAAAATCCGGATCGAAATCTTTCTCTCTGAAAAGTTTTTAAAGAGAGAAGAGATAAAGAAGTCGACCGACTATATGAGGTTTTACATACAAAACGCTAAAAAGAGAGTAAATCACATATTTACATAATATCAATATACATAACTATATTAGAAAGATCTGAATATACATATATTATTAGCTTAGAATAATTATATAACTTTAGTTACAATATAATTCATTATACTTAAAGGTATTTTAAATACGGACCTATTAAATATGTTGTTTTGTATAATTTATTGATTTTTTTTTGTTAAGTTAAGTATAGATTTATAGAAATCTAATTTAGAACATATCTACGATTATAAAATACTAGATAAGTCATGCGTAATATTTTAAAAATTCATGAAAAGATTAAAAAAATATAAAATTTGATAATAAAGTTAAATCAAGTTGATTTTCAAAGTTAGTTATTAACAAAATGGTGACATGTGTCAATTGTATTGATAAGATGTTGACACATGTCAATATATAGATATTTATCAGCTTAAAAAAGGTGGACCTAAAGTTACAAAATAATTCATAATACTTAAGGTATTTTAAATACGGACCTTTTAAATATGTTGTCTTGTGTAATTTGTTGATTTTTTTTTTTAAATTATGTAAAGATTTATAGAAATATAATTTAGAACATAGTATGTTATTATCCTCTAATTCTTCATATTTTAATAATTATGAGAGAAAATAAAAATAAATATACTTTGGTGACATAAAAATTGATAAAATATATATGTGGTCACCACCTAGCCAAAAATGATATGGTAAGTATGCATATGAGAAATAAATATCGTTGTTATAATATCAAAGTTTAAGTTTTCTAAAGAAATTGTTACATTCTATTTTTGGAAGATCTAAACCATTATAAATAGAGTGAAAATCTTTTGAACAAAAAAAAAAAAAAATAGAGTGAAAATCTATTTAATGTGTGTTTTCTTAGAACTTGCAAATCCAACAGGTACCATAATCTACTCATGTTTTTTATTATTAATAAACAAAAATTAGTCATTAAATTGCTATATAAATTCATTTGTAACATAATTTATATTTATTATTAATTTGAATAATAATAAAAACATAACTGCCACAACTTTTAAAGTGGTGCATTTTACCAATCAGATTTTAATAATAAAAGTTTCTACACTCAAAGCATTTTCAGTAGCTAAAATTTTAAATTCAAAACTTTTAAAGTGATTTAATACAATCAATCCATAACATAATTTATACGGGATGATGACGGGTAAATATTGTATATTGATAACTGGAAAATATTTACCGGTCATCAATCTACAATATTTACCGGATTAAGTTACATGTTACATGAAAGGAAGGCCGAAAATATTGTATTCATAACATGTTACATGAAAGGAAGGCCGAAATATTATTCATGATTGCGTCGGTAAAGACAGAAGGAAGTGACGGAGGTTAGTAACCTAGCTAGTTCACGTAAAAGAAGAAAAAACTGAAATAAGAAAAAGGCCAGGTCTCTTTCCCAACCTCATCCTCGTGCATGCTGGACATGTGGAGTCTTCGTCAATGTACATGTAGGGTTGAAGGATATTTAATTAATTGTTACTGTTTCAATCAGGCTAATCGTCTTTACGTAAATATAAAAAGTTTTGAAATGGTGGACGACTCTTCTCCTTTATAGTTTTTTTTTCTCTTTATCTTTCTTGTTATAAATAATGAGAAACCAAATATCCTCTCTCCTCTCTCCTCTCTCCTCTCTCCTCCGACCAACACAACTCTCCGGCGCTATCTTTATCAGATCTCGGTGTTGTTACGGCGCGTTGCTCATCACGGTCACCGGATTCGTACCCGTCTTATCTCTGGCGAGCCACCAAACCGACTTTCCTTCAAATTGCCTTATCACCAGACGGCATTTATGACGAATCTCTATGATCTATCCGCCGCTGGAAGCACCAGTCTCAGATCCATCCAGTCACTTGCGGCGGTACGAAAGTCTCTTCATGTCCTCCGACACCATCCCCGCATCCTCAAGGAACCTATCGTGATCAACTCTCCATCAGGGTTCATCATTGAGATCTACTGTACGAGTAGTTGGTAGGGCAAGAGCTCTCCACTCATCTTCTATGGAAGTGCTTTATAGGAGAGAGAGAAAGGGAGATCATGATCTCTGGCTTCCATGGGGAGGGAGAATGATATTCCAGCTTCCATTAATCTGTACATAGAGCCAACAGGCTCCTTTAAGGTAAACCATTCCCGAACAGACAACATATTCTAGGACATGTTTATAGATTGCTCGCCTAGGATATCGGAAGTAATACATAGTAATTTATATGTTACCTTAAGATATATGTATGGCTAAGTAGTGTATTGCTGTTTAATGCTATTTTATCAGTGTGACTTGATGTTCTTATTAGAGGAAAATAAATGGGAACTATTTTTTTTTGTTCTTCCGGTTTGCACCAGTCAAGTAGATTTTTGGTTTATTCTGAAAAAGTGAAAAACAAAAGAAACGTAGATGAATTGTTCCCTCTACAATATTGAAAGTAGAAATACTATTATTCTAGCAGTAACTTTTCCTCTCACTTTTTTTTTATCAATTCTCCTTTAATTTTCACTAGTTGTGAATTTCTTATGCATCCATAACATTGTTTTCAAATATAAGAGGATCAACTTAAGTTCTAATATATATACATAATATTGACATTACAAAATATAACTTATAATTTTAGAATATACTAGATACGATCCCATGAGTACAATAAAAGTTCCAGCCGAACATAGAATGTGTAGGAAAAAAAAAACACGCCATGAAGTGAATCACATTTATTTGTAAAAAATCTGTAAATTATTATGTAATGTAAATAATTCCACTATATATTATAGATTATTTGGATACTTTAAATTATAAAAAATTCTGAAAAAACGGAGTAGTCTACAAAACGGGATTGAACACCCCCTAATCATATACTCATATGATCATAAAAGTTAGAAGATACTTTTTCTTGATACCACTTAAATTTTACTAGAAAATACTTAAATTTTACAATAAATTACTTAAAAATCAACCTGAATATAACATCAAATTTTTTTAATTGTAGCGCGGGTATACCTAGTAAAATATATAGGAGTAACTCAATAAGAATAAGAAGTCATAATTTAAGATATATAGGAGCAAAATTTTTGTTGAAGGATGAAGAGATAGTTAACTAATTACACAATCTTATAATAATTGTTTGGAGGAAAAAATATTCGGAAAAGGTTTATTACAAATGAAAATAGAACAAATCAAAAATATTTAAGTTAAGGAAAAACCTATATCATTGAATGATTTTAAGATGTTAAGTATTAAGTATGAGGAGAGGACGTTATTGAATGTTAAGACATTTATTTTAGGAAACCAGAGCCCACTAAGGCTATAGAGAGAGCACAATCGGGGGAGAATGAGTAGATGATAGAATCCCGAACCAAAGTAATATCATCAAGTCAAAGCAGGCCCAGGATACTGTGTATAAATACGAAGCCATATAAAACCCTAAGAGACAGCCGAAAGAAACGGAGATGGAGGAAATGGAAGATCTCGCCACCTCTAAATACGGCAAGTCTTTAATGTTTTGTGCTCTAGGAGATTTTCGCAGATTAGTGATATGAATTATAGAGTAATTAAGGGGGCTATTAAAGGTTAGAGGGCTTTACAAGAGAGTAATTAGTGCATTGGGCCTTTGGTTTTGAGTTTTCTGATTATGGTAACTAATCTTAGTTTAAGGCGATTACGGTTAAGGAAACTTCTACTTAACCTTGTCCGTTGATTTCTGATTCTGAATTTCTGAATCTGGACAGGAAATGCAGATCTGCCTTCGACTCGTAATGCTACGACTAAGAATGTCTTGGATCCTGGATGGGAATTTGGAGAGCTCCCACTGGCTATGGATGCGGAGAAGAAGCCTGTTGCAACTGATGTTGATGTTAGTGAGAAGATAATGGAGGAGGACGATCAGTTGTTGAACTTATCCTCCAGCAACTCGGTTTCGCAAACAGTGTGTGTTGAGAGTCAACTCTCACTTCTAGATTCCTTCAAGATCCGGAGATTTGCTCCAGTTACTTTGTCCAGGGGTGATCTTGAGATTAACCCAACAACTAAGGTATCTATTGATTGTGGTGCATTGTTTCTGGAGATCATTGTGTTATTTCATATTTGGTGTTCTTTGGTCCATCCGCGATTATATAACTATTCGAGATAGTTCCTGAGGACGGTATTTTTGAATTTGAATTTTGCAGGTGTCTTTTTATAAGACAGTGGCTGATGAGAGACTTCCCATTTTAAAAATGCATATCCACAAGGCGTCACCAACAGACAAGTTCGCCAAGTCTAGTGAGGTTCTTACTCCAGAAGAAAGGATAAAGGGCTTTTGCTATGGACCTTATGTTATTCCTATATCACCACATGAGATGGAAACCCTCAAGTTCAAAACTGAAGAAAGAATGAAGCTTCTGGGATTTACTCAGGGTTCAAACATATTGCGGTAAGCATAAACAATCACCTATATTTATGGTTGTCTGTAAACTCTTGGTTGTCTCAGTTGACAGACTGTTGTGTTGTGTTGTGTTTTTCTCTGCATGTCAACTAAGACACCGCCACATGAAAGATGACCTGAACATAGTTGTTCCTGATCCGGGAAAACAAAACTCTGTTATTGCCGTCTCTGCCATTGTAAGAGAAATGAAGCAAGCAAACAAGGTGGCAATGGTACGTTGTGTCTGGAGAGATGGACTAGGGAATGTAGTTGTTGAGGTCCTCACTCCCATTGTGTCTAATTTAGATGACACCGTAAGTTAACTCATGGAAACACCTTCATCTTGAATCTTCTGACTACCTTGATGTTCATTTAACTCTTTTCCTTTGCAGCCTGATTCTTTCAACTTCAACATGCTACCTTCCGCTGAGGGTGTCTGTGAGTTTCTGTTTCCTTCTTCCAGCATATTTCCTGCCTCGTGGAAGCCAGATGAGCAACAGCAAGCATTGGCATATAATTTGGTTAAGATGCTTGACATCGCACCTTTTGAGAAAGAGGAATTACTAAAGCCTGAACTTACTCCTAACCCGGTTTTGCAGGTAAAACCTTTTTTTGTTCCCCTGCTTTTGACTATTAATATTTGTATTTGGCGCGTTTTGATGGCGCCTTATATCTATCAAGATTACAGTAAAGTGAACAAATGATTTTGCCATAGTATTTGTCAGACAGGATGTAGCATTCCACTTTAAGTTTGTTATTATTATAATTAAAATTATGGTTTCATGTGTTACTTCAGGCGCTAGCAGATGTGTACTTCAAGGGTTTATTGAAGGTTCAAAGAGAGCCCTCTGATCAAGCTGTCACAAAGTTGCAATTCGAGTTTGAGAGGCGGGTGATCATAATTGATGCGGAGAAGCTGAGGGAAGCTTATCTGCATGAGGTTATCAAGGCAAATGATGATTTGGTTCTTGAACGTTACAAGTCTTTTCTCTATCAGCTTCTCAGTGGCCTCAAATCTTTACACACAGGTTAAGCTAGCATAGTTCTATAAGTTTTAGATGATCTTTCTGAAGATACTCTTTTTTTCTTAACTGTCAATTTTGTTTTACTCTCAGCTAATGTCTATCATCGGGATCTGAAACCCAAAAACATATTGGGAAATGCTGATTGCCAACTCAAGACTTTCTATTTTCAACTCCCAGGATTCGCATTCATTGATACATTAATTTCATTATTCTGCACTGTGAGTAGTAATCCAGTGCCTTCCTTTAAAAAATTACTTCTTCAATTTGGCATGAAACCAATTTTTCTCCTATTGCATTTTGACCACAGGACTATGTAGCTCTTCGATGGTACCGTGCTCCAGAAAAGTGTGGATCATTTTTATCAAAGGTGACGATCCTTTTGCAATTCATCAAATGTTTCAAAATCTTAATACGGAAAGGTGTCATTAAGTAAATGCTCTGGTATTTCTGTTCACGTTTAGCTGTATCCATGTTAGTTTTGTTCCCCTGTTTCCTTGATGTTCATTTAACTCTTTTCCTTTGCAGCCTGATTCTTTCAACTTCAACATGCTACCTTCTGCTGAGGGTGTCTGTGAGTTTCTGTTTCCTTCTTCCAGCATATTTCCTGCCTCGTGGAAGCTAGAAAAGTGTAGATCATTGTTATCAAAGGTGAACATCCTTTTGCAATTCATCAAATGTTTCAAAATCTTAATACAGAAAAGGTGTCGTTATTTAAATGCTATGGTATTTCAGTTCACGTTTAGCTGTATCCATGTTAGTTTTGTTCCCCTGTTAATAGTACGTTGGTACTATAAATTGTTTTGTGTTATGACTTTCCTGTGACGTTTATTCAGGAATGTCAGAACCCTCACCTTGTCATGAAGGAAATGGAAGCTCTGGCCATCTCTAGATACGGCAAGTCTTTAATATTTTGTGCTGTAGGATATTTTCGCAGATTAGTGAGATGGACTATAGAGTAATTAAAGGGCTATTAAGGTTAAAAGGCAAAGTACCATTGGTTTTGAGTTTCCTGATTATGGTAATTAGTTTCAGGTGATTACAGTAAGGAAATTTTCTACTTAAACTTGTCCGATTATTTAGGTTGAATTTCTTTTATATTTATTTTTTTGTCAACTTTTAGGTTGATTTCTGATTATGAATTTCTGATTCTGGACAGGAAATACAGATCTCCCTTGGACTCGTAGTGCTACGACTGAGGATGTCTTGGATCCTGGATGGGAATTTGGAGAGCTCCCACTGGCTATGGATGCGGAGAAGAAGCCTGTTGCAACTGATGTTGATGTTAGTGAGAAGATAATGGCGGAGGACGATCAGTTGTTGAACTTATCCTCCAGCAACTCGGTTTCGCAAACAGTGTGTGTTGAGAATCAACTCTCACTTCTAGATTCCTTCAAGATCCGGAGATTTGCTCCAGTTACTTTGTCCAGGGGTGATCTTGAGATTAACCCAACAATTAAGGTATCTATTGATTGTGGTGCAATGTTTCTGGAGATCATTGTGTTATTTCATATTTGGTGTTCTTTGGTCCATCCGACGATTATATAACTATTCGAGATAGTTCCTGAGGACGGTATTTTTGAATTTGAATTTTGCAGGTGTCTTTTTATAAGACAGTGGCTGATGAGAGACTTCCCATTTTAAAAATGCATATCCACAAGGCGTCACCAACAGACAAGTTCGCCAAGTCTAGTGAGGTTCTTACTCCAGAAGAAAGGATAAAGGGCTTTTGCTATGGACCTTATGTTATTCCTATATCACCACATGAGATGGAAACCCTCAAGTTCAAAACTGAAGAAAGAATGAAGCTTCTGGGATTTACTCAGGGTTCAAACATATTGCGGTAAGCATAAACAATCACCTATATTTATGGTTGTCTGTAAACTCTTGGTTGTCTCAGTTGACAGATTGTTGTGTTGTGTTGTGTTTTTCTCTGCATGTCAACTAAGACACCGCCACATGAAAGATGACCTGAACATAGTTGTTCCTGATCCGGGAAAACAAAACTCTGTTATTGCCGTCTCTGCCATTGTAAGAGAAATGAAGCAAGCAAACAAGGTGGCAATGGTACGTTGTGTCTGGAGAGATGGACTAGGGAATGTAGTTGTTGAGGTCCTCACTCCCATTGTGTCTAATTTAGATGACACCGGAAGTTAACTCATGGAAACACCTTCATCTTGAATCTTCTGACTACCTTGATGTTCATTTAACTCTTTTCCTTTGCAGCCTGATTCTTTCAACTTCAACATGCTACCTTCTGCTGAGGGTGTCTGTGAGTTTCTGTTTCCTTCTTCCAGCATATTTCCTGCCTCGTGGAAGCCAGATGAGCAACAGCAAGCATTGGCATATAATTTGGTTAAGATGCTTGACATCGCACCTTTTGAGAAAGAGGAATTACTAAAGCCTGAACTTACTCCTAACCCGGTTTTGCAGGTAAAACCTTTTTTTGTTCCCCTGCTTTTGACTATTAATATTTGTATTTGGCGCGTTTTGATGGCGCCTTATATCTATCAAGATTACAGTAAAGTGAACAAATGATTTTGCCATAGTATTTGTCAGACAGGATGTAGCATTCCACTTTAAGTTTGTTATTATTATAATTAAAATTATGGTTTCATGTGTTACTTCAGGCGCTAGCAGATGTGTACTTCAAGGGTTTATTGAAGGTTCAAAGAGAGCCCTCTGATCAAGCTGTCACAAAGTTGCAATTCGAGTTTGAGAGGCGGGTGATCATAATTGATGCGGAGAAGCTGAGGGAAGCTTATCTGCATGAGGTTATCAAGGCAAATGATGATTTGGTTCTTGAACGTTACAAGTCTTTTCTCTATCAGCTTCTCAGTGGCCTCAAATCTTTACACACAGGTTAAGCTAGCATAGTTCTATAAGTTTTAGATGATCTTTCTGAAGATACTCTTTTTTTCTTAACTGTCAATTTTGTTTTACTCTCAGCTAATGTCTATCATCGGGATCTGAAACCCAAAAACATATTGGGAAATGCTGATTGCAAACTCAAGACTTTCTATTTTCAACTCCCAGGATTCGCATTCATTGATACATTAATTTCATTATTCTGCACTGTGAGTAGTAATCCAGTGCCTTCCTTTAAAAAACTACTTCTTCAATTTGGCATGAAACCAATTTTTCTCCTATTGCATTTTGACCACAGGACTATGTAGCTCTTCGATGG